GTTGCTCATCTAGTCTGGAGATTTCCCTGAGACACACTGAAAGAAATCAACCTGATAGAAGCGAGGCAACTATACAGACAGGGAGAAAAAGAGGTAGGCAGTAGGTGCATCTACACTATAGAATTAATGCAGTTTGGCACCACTTCAATTGCCATACTCAATACTATGGAATCATGGGAGCTGTAATTTGGCAGAGAAGGCTAAAGCCCTTGTAAAATGATAACTCCCAGGATTACACAACATTGAGTCATCGTAGTTAAAGTGGTGTTGAGCTGCATTAATTCTACAGTGTAGATGCAGCCAAATTGAACATTTTGCCCCTTTCCTGTTGCAGTTCTCTCCATCAAACAAAAGCAATTGCCCTTGTGTGAGAAAGATTCTAGGAAAGAGAGGGAAGGAAGGAGGAAAAGACACACCAGTATTTGCTTCTGATCGCACAGGTTCACCTACTTTTACTTGTCCTGTAGGAGAGAGCCTGGAGACTTATTGTTTTATATTGTGGTGTTTATAAATGTATTTTAATCGATGGGAGATGAGACCGACTTTTGAAGGATATAAATAATAATAATATTTATTTATTTATTTATTTAGAGCATTTGTATTCCATCTTTCTCATCCTCCGACTCATGGCCCCGGCCCAAATAACCTATCCGAACGCATCTCCCCATATGAACCATCGCGGAGATTAAGATCCTCTGGGAAGGCCATGCTTTCCATCCCGCCATTGTCACAGGCACGATTGGTGGGGACGAGAGACAGGGCCTTCTCAGTGATTGCTCCCCGGCTATGGAACTCCCTTCCTGGTGAGGTCAGGTCAGCCTCCTCCCTCCTGTCCTTTAGAAGGATGGTAAAAACTTGGCTGTGGGACCAAGCTTTTGGGACACGGCAATAAAGCAACAATAGAAAAGATGACCAGGCCAAATAGATTTTACATGGATGACTAGGACAGTTTAAAATGGGGTATTTTAATATTTTGATAAATGTTTTTTAATGTTTATGTATTGTATGTGAATTTGTGTCCCGGCATTGAATGTTTGCCGTATATATGCTGTGCTCCGCCCTGAGTCCTCTTCGGGATGAGAAGGGCGGAATATAAATGTTTTAAGTAAGTAAGTAAATAAATAAATAAATAAAAATGGCAACTTACAATTGGCAGTCATTAGATGCCGACAAAGAAACAGTTAAAGCACAACAATTAACATAAACAGGTCAACAGCAGTAAAATACATTAAAAACATTGGCCCTTAAAATATTAACACAACCAAGTCTGATCCCACAAATCCAAATCATAGTCCAGAGTTCCAATCCAAGGACTCTTAGTTGACAATTCTCATGAATTGTTGTTGCTCAGCCAGCTGCCCAAATACTTGATCCCCATAATAATATTTTCCAAATATATTATCATTACTGACTCAAGAGAATAAAAGCTGTTGGGTAGGAGGGGACTCAGGAAGTATGGTTTTGATGGGGCACTTGCCATTTCCCAGCTGCTTCACTCTACCTGGTAGGAACAGCTCAGAAAACAAAGCAATACGTGGAACTGGATTGAAACCATCTACAGAACACTGCACAGCTAATTACCTGTATTGCTGCAACATAGCATACTGTATGTAAGAAATAGGCAGAAATAGTTACCACCTTGCATGCCAACCGTCTGTATATATTGGGGCAGGAAAAAGAAATACCGGAATAAGAAAATAGTGCAGTTCAGTTCACAGAAGTCACACAACAAAGCTCCAGGCCCAAAGACATTAGACTTTTTCTTTCTGAACAGGAAGTTCTGGATCCAGACCTTTTATAAATTCATCTGGACATATTTAGGATAATCCACACAACAACAATTTGAGGAGATGGGGATGCTGGGGACGTTGTCTTTTATTCGTGTTATATTTTGAAATGGTCATATGACTGGTCAAATAAATTATTATTATTATTATTATTATTATTATTATTATTAATAATAATAATAATAATAATAATAATGTATAGATGGCCTCATTCCTCCTGCCACCAGTTCTGTAACACTGGTAACAGATGACTGAACAGGGTTAAAGCTAAAGACAATTTGTCATATCCACTTAGATATGAAACCCAGCAGAATGTTACAACAGTCTCTTCTAAATGAACAAAATGCCAAAGGGGGAAAAACGCCAGTAGAATATGCAATTTGCAAAGAGGAATTGGATACCAAGTTGATTTGTGAAGCTGAAAAGTAGAACGAGGGGAGAGATAATGTATCAGTTAAGCAAGCAGTGAGCAATAATAGTATCAGAACATGTGGAGATTATGGTGATGATGAGTATACTCCAGTTTTGTGTAAATTCATTCTGAATAATTTCAGATAATTCATTGGCATTTACTTAAAGAAAGGGATGGAGGCAATGGGTGCACTGGCAGCAACACCTCCCACTTCTCTGAAATCTCCCACGAATGGAACACAGAAATGACATTGTTTCCCTTCTCAGGGCCCTTCCACACAATCATATGATGCAGAATATCAAGGCAGAAAATTCCACAATATATGCTTTGAACTGGGTTATCAGAGTCCACACTGCCATATAGTCCGGTTCAAAACAGGAAAGGTGGGATTTTATCCAGCTGTGTGGAAGGGGCCTCAGGCCCCTTCTACATTGCAATATAATATCCAGATTATCAGCTCTGAAGTAGATTAGATGCCTCATCATTCTAGTCTAGAAGAACAAAAGCAAGAAAGCCGGAAAATGGAGACAGGTCGCATGGCCAGCCCAGAGCAATAAAAATACCTTTAAAGAGGAAATTAGGTCTTCCCTGAAGAGATCACCTTGCTAAGTATTCAAAGGGAATTAGATAATGGTATGCAGGATGAGTAAGACAATACCCCTTCTAAGCCCCTTCTTGAGGTAGCCATGCACAAGGAATTTGGTGAAGGAATCCCTCATTCTAATCTATCTAGGCTAACTACTAATTGAGGACTAGAGACTTGTGCAGATGAAACAGTAGGCTCTGCTCCTGCCTTGCTTGTTTATTCGTTCAGTTGCTTCCGACTCTTCATGACCTCATGGACTCCAGAACTGTCTGCCATGCCCAGCTCCTTCAGAATCAAGCCAGGCACTTCAAGGATACCATCTATCCATCTTGCCCTTGGTTGGCCTCTCTTTCTTTTTCCTTCCATTTTCCCCGGCATCATTGTCTTCTCTAAGCTTTCCTGTCTTCTCATGATGTGGCCAAAGTACTTCATCTTTGCCTCTAATATCCTTCCCTCCAGTGATCAGTCGGGCTTTATTTCCTGAAGTACTTACTTACTTAGGCAATCCCTCGTTGTCTGAGTAGGATAGTCTTCCAGGGTCAGTGTACTGGTGGGTCCGTAGGTGACTGTGGAGCCCTATTCTTGACCTGCATGTTCTCCCACAGTGAAGGCATTGGTTTTCAGGTGAAAGGCAGTCTTGGTTGGGGTTCGCTTGACTTGCCTTCCTCTTGGCATGTTTCTCTCTTTCACCCTGCATTCGTGCCTCTTCAAATTCTACAGCACTGCTGGTCACAGCTGACTTCCAGCTGGAACACTCAAAGGCCAGGGCTTCCCAGTTCTCAGTGTCTATGCCAGAGTTTTTAAGGTTGACTTTGGGCCCATCTTTAAATCTCTTTTCCTGTCCTCCAACATTCCGTTTTCCGTTCTTGAGTTCGGAGTAGAGCAACTGCTTTGGGAGACAGTGGTCAGGCATCTGGACAACGTGGCCGGTCCAGCGGAGTTGATGGCGGAAGAGCATCGCTTCAATGCTGGTGGTCTTTGCTTCTTCCAGCACACTGATGTTTGTTCGCTTGTCCTCCCAAGAGATTTTCAGGATTTTCCGGAGGCAGCGCTGATGGAATCGTTCCAGGAGTTGCATGTGACGTCTGTAGACTGTCCACGTCTCGCAGGCATATAGCAGTGTTGGGAGGACAATAACTTTATAAACACGCACCTTGGTATCCCAACAGATGTCCAAGTCCTCAAACACTCTCTGCTTCATTCGGAAAAAAGCTGCACTCGCAGAGCTCAGGGGTGTTGTATTTCAGTGTCAATGTTGACTTTGGTGGAGAGGTGGCTGCCAAGGTAGTGGAAATGATCAACATTTTCTAAGCTTATACCATTAAGCTGTATCTCTGGCATTGGAGAGGGGTTGACTGATGACTGCTGGAAGAGCACTTTGGTTTTCTCAATGTGCAATGACAGGCCGAGCTTCTTGTATGCTTCTGTGATGGTATTTAGAGTGGCTTGTAGGTCTTCTTCTGAATGTGCACAAATGATGTTGTCATCAGCATATTGGAGTTCTATAACAGATGTTGTTGTGACCTTGGTTTTGGCTTTCAGTCTGCTGAGGTTAAATAGCTACCCATCTGTCCGATAGATGGTTTCCACTCCAGTGGGAAGTATCATAGTAATGAAGATGGAGCCCCTGGTGGCGCAGTGGGTTAAAGCCCTGTGCCGGCAGGACTGAAGACCGACAGGTTGCAGGTTCGAATCCGGGGAGAGGCGGATGAGCTCCCTCTATCAGCTCCAGCTCCTCATGCGGGGACATGAGAGAAGCCTCCCACAAGGATGATAAAACATCAAAAAATCATCCGGGCGTCCCCTGGGCAACGTCCTTGCAGATGGCTAATTCTCTCACAACAGGATGCTCCTGACACGACAAAAAAAAAGTAATGAAGATGGAAAATAAGATTAGGGCAATAACACATCCCTGTTTGACACCCGATTCCGCCTTAAATGGGTCACTTTGGGATCCATTGCTGTCCAAGACTGCTGCCATCATGTCATCATGGAGGAGCTGCAGGATGTTCACAAATTTTTTAGGGCACCCGATTTTTTGGAGGATGGTCCAGAGAGCGCTGCGATTCACTGTTTTGAATGCCTTTGCAAGGTCATTGAATGCCATGTACAGTGATTGTTGGTTTTTTTTAACTACTCATTGAGGACTAGAGACTTGTGCAGTCGGGATGAAACCTAATAGTAGGCTCTGCTCCTGCCTGGCTTGCTTTGCTTTTTTCTTCTTCTCCTGCCTGCCTTCAATGCCAGGCGGAGGACACTCAAGGATGTTCAGAGAATCAGAGTGGTACCCAGCAGCAGGAGATGCCAGGTTGCTAGGAGACCGGCACAAGGTTAGGTATAGGCAGTGCTTTTCCGTTCCCTTTTTGGCCCAAAGCAGAGGGCTTCAGGTGCTTCGAGAGGAGGAGGAGGAGGAGGAGGCAGAAGAGGAGGAGGAGGCGCCTGCTGCCGGAGGTGCCCTTCAGAGGAGGCTCTGGGCGCCTGATGGCGAGGAAGGACCTTCAAGGGGCGAGGAAGGGGACCGGCAGCACCAGCAGCAGCACAGAGTGAGAAGGATCTGGTCCAGGGGAGGAGGAGGAAAAGGAGGAAGAGGAGGAGAGCCCAAGTCAATGCGGAGTCTGGGAAGGTCAGGCGGGCACCCGGCTCGGGAGGAAGGTAAAGGCGATGCTGGGCAACGCGGAAGGATGCTTGACTTAGGCACCGGTGGGCGGTGAGCCTTGAAGACAAGGAGTGAAGGGCAAACGGGAAGGGGGATGCACTGGGGGAGGGATGGGGGGCAGCAGCAAGCGACTCTCCGTTGCCAGGCCAAGGAGGGAGGGAGACATAGGGTGCAGTGTCTGAACCATCCCGTCTTTGCAAAGGGAGGATGTGCTGCAGAGGCAGGAACTGCGTCCTTGGGAAGGAGAGGAGCCAGGGAGCCTCCAAAGCCACAGAGGACATCGCCCCCCAGCGTGGTTGGGGGGCCCCAAAGGGGAGTTCTTCCTCCTCCTCCTCCTCCTCCTCCTCTTCTTCCTCCTCCTCCTCCTCTTCTTCTTCTTCACCTCTGCAGCCTCTTTCTCCTCCCCTTCTCTCTTCCTCCTTTTCTTTTTCTCCTCTGCCAGCTTTCTCTTCCTCTTTTTCACTGCTGCCACCTCTTCCTCTTCTGCTGCCACCTCTTCCTCACTGCTGTCCTGCAAAATCCAGGCTGTCTGCTTTGAACTGGATTATATGGCAGTGTAGACTCATGTAATCCCATTCAAGGCAGATCATGCGAATTGCCTGCTTTGATAAGCTGATGCCCCTTCCACACTGCCATATCACCCAGTGTCAAAGCAGATAATCCACATTATCTGCTTTGAAATGGGTTCTCATAGGCCCCTTCTACACAGCTGTAGAAATTCCAGATTATCTGCTTTGAACTGGATTATATGGCGGCGTAAAGGTAAGGTAAAGGTAGTCCCCTGACATTTAGTCCAGTCATGTCTGACTCTGGGGTGTGGTGCTCATCTCCATTTCTAAGCCAAAGAGCCAGCGTTGTCCGTAGACACCTCCAAGGTCATGTGGCCGGCATGACTGCATGGAGCGCCGTTACCTTCCCGCCAGAGCGGTACCTATTGATCTACTCACATTTGCATGTTTTCGAACTGCTAGGTTGGCAGAAGCTAGGGCTGACAGCGGAAGCTCACGCTGCTCCCCGGAATCGAACCTGCAACCTTTCGATCAACAAGCTCAGCAGCTCAGTGCTTTAACCCAGTGTAGACTCATATAATCCCATTCAAGACAGATAATGTGGATTGCCTGCTTTGATAATCTGAGGCCCCTTCCACACTGCCATATCCACATTATCTGCTTTGAAATGGGTTATCATAGGCCCCTTCTACACAGCTGTGGAAATTCCAGATTGTCTGCTTTGAACTGGATTATATGGCAGTGTAGACTCATATAATCCCATTCAAGGCAGATAATGTTGGTTATCTGTCTTGATATTCTGGATTATATGACAGTGTAGAAGGGCCCTGATGGCCCTTCTAGACAGGCCCTATATCCCAGGATCTGATCCCAGGTTTTCTGCTTTAAACTGGATTATATGAGTCCACACTGTCAGATAATCTGGAATAAAGAGAAATCCTGGAATATAGGGCCTGTCTGGAAAGGCCCTTATTCTAAACTGCCATATAATCCAATTCAACAGAGATAATCTGGATTTTATATGGCAGTGTAGAAGGGGCCTTCTTCTTCACCATTGCCACCTCTTCCTCCTCCTTCTTACTTACTTACTTTGGCGATCCCTTGATGTCCAAGTAGGATGGTCTTCCAGGGTCAGTGTTCTGGTGGGTCTGTAGGGTTTTTTTTTTTTTTGCCGTGTCAGGAGTGACTTGAGAAACTGCAAGTTGTTTCTGGGGTGAGAGAATTGGCCGTCTGCAAGGACGTTGCCCAGGGGACACCTGGATGTTTTTGATGTTTTACCATCCTTGTGGGAGGCTTCTCTCGTGTCCCCGCATGAGGAGCTGGAGTTGATAGAGGGAGCTCATCTGCCTCTCCCCGGATTCGAACCTGCGACCTGTTGGTCTTCAGTCCTGCCGGCACAGGGGTTTAACCCACTGTAGGTGACTGTGGAGCACTATTCTTGATTTACATCTTCTCCCGCAGTGAGGGCCTTGGTTTCCAGGTGGAAGGCGGTCTCGGTCTTCTTCTATTCCTCCTTCTATTCCTCCTTCTATTCCTCCTTCTTCTGGAGAGGCTGGCAATGTCCTTGGGAAGCCCCATAGCAGAGAAGGGAGGGAGCTGAGGGGGCATCCACAAATAACAACAACAGCAGCAACTGTACTTGTTATATTCCTCTCCTCATGGCTCCAGGCTGGGTACAACATGGTTCCAACAGATAAAATATAATACAATTTAAATGCATATATGTTAAGGCGGACCTAACAGAGACCAACACTCACACTAACTTTGGGAAGTGCTTTGAATGCAATTTTCCTGCTTCTTGGCAGGGGGGTTGGACTGGACGGCCCACGGGGTTTCTTCCAACTCTATGATTCTATAATACAATGTAGATTAATGTTCGCTGTTCAGAATTGCCTGGACTCCATCTTTAGTTGTGTCTTGAATTCTGGCAGAGGATTTAGTGGTTGGTTTACTTCTGGAAGGTCATTCCACAATCTTGGGGCAGATGAGGAAAAGGTCCTCTGGGGGATAGTTGCCAGTCAGATTCTGACTGGCTAGAGTAGACCAGCCCCCCCCCCCCTCCCCAAGTGTATGGGTTGGATTATACAGGAGAAGGCAATCCTGTAGGCAACCTGGCAGGACCAGGAGGGGTATTTCTCCATCTGCCTCTTGGTAAAGGAGCAGGATTATGTCTGCTGACTCCCGCTGCCCTTCTAGTGGCTCCTCCCTGACCACCCGCCGCATTGTCCTTGTAGTTCACCTGCCTGCTCTGAACCAGCGAAGTGCTTGAGAACCTTGTGTGAAAGCTCTCCTAAGAGAGTTAAGCACCTGAACAAAAGCAGGCTGCTACCCACCAAGCTGTGGCCTTTGGGATTGTTGGTAGTAGTGGGGAAGATGAATAAACCCTGGGTAAGCAAAGCCAGCCTGTGGGGAAAAAAGACCTCTGAGCCCTCTCACTTCTCTCCTAGATCCGAATGTCAGAGGAGAACAACGCTGAGGATGATCATGGGGACCACCACCAGCACAGCTTGTATATGCTGGTCCTGCTGGTCATGGTCTTCTTTGTCATGGGCCTGGTGGGATTCCTCATTTGCCACGTCCTGAAGAAGAAAGGCTACCGCTGCCGGACGTTCAGTGATGAGTTTGAATCAGACAACAAGGAGTCGCTGACCCCAACAGAAGATGGTGAGTCACAAGTAGGGAGGGAATCATGCTCTGCCACTGACTTTCCTTCTTCTCGCAAAGCCCAAAGTCAATGTGATGATCAGTTATCAAGGTCCAAAGCAAATATGAACTCAAGAAGCCAAGAGCAGTTGGGAAAGTAGGAACTTGAGGGTGCTATTTGAAAACTATTTTGGCACCTTCTAGGTTAAGAGAGCCATCTGTAGTCCTGAATCCAGTTTGGAGAGATAATTTAAATCCTGGATTCAAACCTGGAGTGGATTCGCTGCTCAACTATCAAAGGAGCCATCAGCTGCTAGTGATGTTTGAGAGAGGGAATGGCCCCACATTATGCCCCTGCGAAAATGTGTGGGTTTTGTGTGTGTGTGTGTCAGAAGTGATTTGAGAAAGTGCAAGTCGCTTCTGGTGTGAGAGAATTGGCTGTATGCAAGGACGTTGCCCTGGGATACCCAGATGTGTTACCATCCTGTGGTTTATCTCATGTCCCCACACGGGAAGCTGGAGCTGACAGATGGGAGCTCACCCTGCTCCCCAGATTTGAACTGCTGACCTTCAGGTCAGCAATTCAACCAGCCCAAGGGCTTTACCCATTGCGCCACCACGGTTCTATGCGAAAATGTTGATTATACTTTACTCTTCCAACCTATATTTTATTGGAGCAGTTTTCTTGAGGAAATAAAGTGATTTTGTGTCAGCTGCTGCATTTTCCTGAGTATTCAGATGGAGCAGCAACCCTCCCCCCTTTCAGTTTCTTGACTGCTTTTGTTTCCCTGAGTGTTATGTTCAGCTTTCTTTGCATTTCAGTGCACAGCATGCCCACTTAGAAATAAATCTCTGCATATTCTATAGAAGGCATTTATTTTAGTATAAAAAGGTTATTCATAGGTGTGTATTGGATTGTAGCCATCAGCCATCTTTTTCTCATTTAAGAAAAATTGACCCAGAGCTAAATTGAGCTTCCCAGATTAAAGTAAAAATGCACTTACCTTTCTTGTCTGCTCTGCAGTTCCACATCTTATTTGCACATTGCTTAAAATAACCTAGCAAATTAGAGCTGGTGGAACCTGCAAAATGATAGGCTTGAATTAGTAGAATTCACTGAAACTTTCCTCTCAGCAAACCTACATAAGATATCCTTGTAAATCTGTTTTTTTCCCTGGATTTTCAAACACTGGCCAATACAAAACTGGAGGAGACCCAGTATATCCAATTTCGCTTCTCAGCAGATGCAGAAAAAGCAGTCTGTCAGTGTTACCTACTTTACAGGATTTTTTTTTTTTTTTTGCAGTAGGGAATTAAAATAAGTCTAAATAACAGATTTGATGATAGTGGGTGTTCTAGACAAGCTAAAATATGATTTTAAAATGGCATCACAGCATTCAAAGACTCCTACAATATGAACTGTCAAGTATTTGGCTCATGAAATAGGTGGTACATTAATAACCATTACTTTATGTGTGTGTACAGAAACATATGCATGTGTAAACACGCAACACTTTCAGCATAGAAATATTTGGGCCACAATTAACCAGGAAGGTCTATTGTAGTAGGAAGCATAATGAATTCCAATGGTTTTCATTGGATTCTTGTTAGAGAAGTGGGCCATGCCACATGGCACATGCTAATGGTCCATGTGGCATGAAGCTACATCTTGTGTCTCCCTTTTATATACAGTTTGAGTTCATAAGAAGGGAATGGGAAACAGGGAGAACAGGTGCTGTTTCTCTAGGACTTTATACAGGCTAGTCATTCTCACCAGTAGTATTAGTTGTGTTACTTATTTTCAACACTGGTTCCATTGCAGATAATTAAGAAGTTAGATGCATTGCCATATAATCCAGATTATCAAAGCAGACAATCCACATTATCTGCTTTGAATTTTGAGACACAGGCTGAAACATGGCGGTACCTTTGTAGTTTTTAACCTATGTTCTTAACCATCATGTATGGCATCAGTCAGTTTTAACTAAATTTTAAGCAGTTTTAACTCTTGAAAATTTTATCTATGTGTCTAAACAGTTAGCTGTTGTTACTTTATAAACCTTGCATACCTTGTACACCTATGGAGAAAAAGGGGGTCTTTGGACCATAATAAAATGTAGTTGTAGTACCAGGCACTTTCTTCTTTCACCTTGGTTATAAGGCTAGTCAGCTCCACTTTGCTTTCAGCCATCTCTAAAATGGTTAGTTTCTTCCAGCAATTTATGACATAGTACAATATATTGTATAACTCTAATAGTATAATATATTGGTGGTATATTATATGTGTTGTGGTAGAATAATATCGTGATAAAGGTAAAGGTTTTCCCCTGACATTAAGTCCAGTTGTCCAACTCTGGAGGTTGGTGCTCATCTCAATTTCTAAGCTGAAGAACCAGCGTTGTCCATATACACCTCCTAGGTCATGTGGTCTGCATGGAGCGTCGTTACACATGCAAGCCATTACTTGGTGCTACTGTTATCAACTGATAAACTTATGGATATAGGATACTCTCATAGCTCAGTGTTGAAGAATCTTTGTAGAAAGTCCAGGGTGCAGTGTTGGGTGTCCAGGTTGACACTTCCTTTCTGTGTGTGCATGTCAATAGAATCAACAGGACTTATTTTCAGCAACATTGATAGCAAATTGGACACATCTTAAACAAATGCCAGACTCTCCCATTAAGATCTACAGAAACCAATGTGCAGCAATGCTTGTCAACAACAGAAGGCCAGCCTATTTTCAAAATTAGGTGCCATTTGCCACAAGGCTGAGAGCATGGGAGAGTGTATATAAAGTTTATACTTTATATATAAAGTCTATATAAAGTATATATGACTGTATGTAAAGTATATATGATTCTCCCCATGGGGACTTCTGTAGGAGAGGTTGGTTAGATTTTTGTGTTTTTGTGCTATTTTAGACCTGGCACAATAAGTCAGGAAGATTCTTAGGAAGAAGGTTGCAAATCTTATATTACATATATGATTTTAATAGCATTTGGCCGCTCTCTTTGTTGTAGGGAACAGTTAAGACTAACCGATAGCTCTGACTCCTGTCCAGGCAAGTGGCTTTTTGCTTCTATTTATAGGACACAGAGTTTTATAGGATTGACTTTAATTTTCAGTTCTTAGAAATACCGCCCCCTCCAATGGGTTTGTTTTTCATTACTTCTTTGTTTATTTGTTTTTAATCCTTTTTCCAGTTTGCGTTTCTATAAATATCTGGTTTAACAGGTGTTGCTATCTTTATTTGGGGTACACATTATAGTCATTAATTCCCAGGCAACTTTTCATCATTTCATCATAAAATCATGTTTATGTTTTTCCCTCCAAGACAAGGTGATCCTAGTCAGTTGGAAACTAGATCAAGAAATAGGGATCCAACCTGTGCTGGATGGGGTTACACTACCCTTATAGACACAGTTTTGCAGTTTGGAGGTTCTCCTGGACTTGGCACTAAACCTGGAGGCCCCGGTATCAGCGGTGGCCAGGAGGGCCTTTGCACAATTAAAACTTGTGCACCAACTATGCCAGTTCCTTGAGAAACAAGGTCTGGCCACGGTGGTGTATGCTTTAGTTTCGTCTGGATTACTGTAATGTGTGCTATGTGGGACCACCTTTGAAGAGTGCTAGGGAACTTCAGCTGGTCCAAAGAGCTGCAGCCAGGTTCCTAACTGAGACTGGCTACAGAGAGTGGACAACCCCCCTGTTGCAGCAGCTCCACTGGCTGCCAATTTGTTTCTGGGTACAATTCAATGTGCTGGTTATGACCTTTAAAGCCCTAGATGGCTCAGGTCCAAGCTATTTGGCTGACCACATATCTTTGTACAAACTGGCCTGGGCCCTGAGATCTTCAGGAGAAGCCCTTTTCTTCATCCTAGTTGGTAGGAACAAGAGAGAGGGCCATCTCCTGAGGATGTAGAGCTAGGAGAATGTTCTGAAAGTGCCCTCAATCACGGGAGATGGTGGGGGCGATGAGACAGTTTCAAAATGTTCCTTGGGAGAAGGCCATGTCAACAGAAGAGATATCTCTCTCCTCGCCACCACTATGGGTGGACATGTCTCTGGAACATTCTGAAGATCTCACCATCCCAAGAAATGGCTCTGGGTTTGGGAATGCCTTCAAAATGTTACCAAAACATTTCTTTTACTTGGGAGATGGAGGCAGAGTAAGAGGAACGGGCGAGAGGGTGGGAGCCACACTGAAACACCCCTCTCCCATGACTTCACCATGGTATTTTTGTTGTAAGCTGTCCCAAATCCTTTTGGGAGAGGGGCGGGATACAAATAAAGTTGTATTATTATTATTATTATTATTATTATTATTATTATTATTATTGTGTTATTATTTATTTATTTGTTTATTATTATTCACCACATGGGACTGTGACGGTGGTGGGTCCATGTGGAAGATCTCCAGAGTCTGCCAAACTAATAAGATGCAGAGGGGCAGACCTTCTCGTGGACCATCTACCGTCATAGGCCTGTCTGATGAGGACATGGATAAGACACTTCTCAGTGCTGCTCAGAGAGGTTTTTCCCATATCAGTGTTCTTTTGCAGTTCAGTTTTCCTTGCTCTATTTTCCCATACCTCCTGGAGGCCTGTGCTGTTATTCTGGTGTCATATAAGTAGCTAAGTTGTTTCATTTGCCATCTCATTTTCTCTTTTCAGATAAGGATGAAGAGCTGAATGAGGACACTGTAGAGAAGATAGTGAAATGTATCATTCAGAATGAAGGTGGGCTTAACCTTGACTTCATTTTTGGGAATCCCAAACATATGAGAACATTGCTTTGACATGTTTCTATTTTTCCCTCCTCATTTCGTTAGCCAATGTGGAAGTTCTGAAGGAAATGCTAGGGGAAGGTGACACTGATCCTCCACTGCCGATACCCGTGCCCAGGTGAGGAGAAGTTCCACATTCACTTGGGGACCAATAACATCTTTTCCTGACTTTTCTTTTTCCAAATCACACTCATTCTAAATAAATGGGTTAAAGGCCACCTGCCACTAAGGCAAGAGTTTAAAAGACTGAAGCCTTTATTTCTGTGTAAAAGGGAAATCTTAGATCAGATGCCTTCAATTATATGACTTTCTTATAATTGGTGCTTGTTGCTGTTCATATGTGTCTGCTGTCTGAGGCAGAAAATCAAAATGGAACCTTCCCTCCCACGACCCATGTTGTGGTGGTCTGTTTCTTGCACAACTCTCATTTAGGGCCCATCTAGACTGGCACATAATCCAGTATAGATGGTGCTTCAGCCTGGGGTGACCAAAAGACGCACCCAAGCTAAATAATTTTAATCTGGGGTATGCTATTTAATCTGGTATATGCTCAGATTAAAAAAAAATACATGCAAAGATCTGGATTTTCCTTAAAGATCTGGACCTTTGTAGGTATTGAGTCTATCTTCGCAACAGTGCCACCCTCCCCACTTTGCCTCCCAAATCAGCAGTAAGCCTCCTTATCTGTTCCTTGAGACTGTCTGTTCTTTTCTTCACCTGCAACAATGATGCGACGGAGCTTGGAGACTGGAGGGTGGCACTAGCCATGTTCACACATGCCGAGACCTCATTGGCACGGTTGGGGTGTATATGGCCATTTCCCCCTACCAATGAGCTGGGGTTTTGCCTCCTGATGTGGTCTCAAAATGTCTGTTCATGCTGCATTTTGTCTTGTGTGGAAGCAGCCTTAGTTTTCTGGGGAAAATGTATCTTGCATAGTAAGTCTCAAGGAACATATTTTGTGTTTTGCACCATTAATGATCTCCTGAACTTTCTGTGTGAGATGGAAACCTGACCTTACATTAGGTATGGGCAAACTTTGGCCCTTCAGGTGTTTTGGATGTCAACTTCCTGAAATCTCAGCCATCTTACCAACGGTTAGGAATTGTGGGAGTTGAAGTCCAAAACACTTGGAGGGCCGAAGTTTGCCCATGACTGCCTTACATCCTGGTATGGCTCCCTTTATGTTTTGAGGCTGGTTAGTTTACACTGTGCAGGTTGCTTTTGAGTAGATCTCCAGGATTAGGTTAATCGTTACCATCACTTCAATACAATCGTTACCATTACACAACCAACCAAACAACTTAGTTGGCTTCTCTGAATAGTTGGCTTCTGTAAATCAATTTGGATGTTATATGTTCAGATTTTATGTCATTTTATAATTTTTGTTTGATTATGTTTGGTTTAATTTATTGATATTAGGTTCTAATATCAATTAGGGTTTTTTCTGGGATTATTATGTCAGGACTTGTTTGTTCTATGGAGGTACTGAATGTTTGCCGTTGTATGTTGGAATCCACCCTGGGAAGATAGGGCGGAATCTAAATAAAGATTTATTATTATTAATTTATTATTATTGTTCCAAGTTCTAGTACTATGACAATGATTGGACTTTTGCTTTCCTTCCTTTAGTGGCCTCTGTCCACATCGCAACAGCCAAGATGGTGGGCTACCCCATCATCACACAGTGCACTTGGGCTCAACTCAAGCACCTTGTATTCATTGCAGTAGGAAAAAGAGGCACTCACTGCATCGTCAGGGACGCTCCAAGGAAAGCAAAGGCAAAATGCAGCCTGGGGAGACAACTGTTTTCTCTGTTGGCAGGTGGGTAACCTACATTACTGAGTAATCATTATTATTGATAAGTGAATGGCATACTTTTTTTTCATTGTGTAATAGTCCTTATCACATCAGTTTCCAGCCAAGTCAAATCCCACAATGCCAAGTACTGAATTTATTTCCTAACCCACCCCACATGCCAAGGATTGATTCCACTCTCCTGCCCACCTTCCCTTTCCCTTTGGCTGCACCCTCAAAGGAACTATTATGCGGTGAAAAAAGCTTCTCAAATGGGCCTTTTTTTCATTGTAATAGTTGCCACTTCATAATAGTTGCATCCTCCACAAAAGGAGAAAGTGCAACTATCACGCAGTGAATATGGAAAATATAGGATACATTGTGTTTGCTTTATTTATTCAGACAAGACATTATATTTCACTCTTCTTGCACTTTCACCCCACTCAGGATGACCAATAATTAAAATCAATAATGTCATTATGACCAAAATAGATAAAACACTGGAAAACATTCATAAAACAAATGTTTTCCTAAATAGAAATGTATGTTGCAATGAACATCTGTGGTGGATTTAACATGTGGGAAAAGTGAGAACTAGACAAAGCTGATATTTAGTTTCTTGATTTCAGAAATTGTATTTGTGCCAACAAAAAGCATTCTGCTGCTAATGTCCTTAAAAACTAACCAATTTAAGACATAGAAAACACACATATTTTGTTATGTTAAGATAATATTGGGGGTGGAATATCATTAGGCAGATTTAAGGCAATAATGTTGATATGGATAAAGCTATGAGAACCCTGAGTCCCTACTAATTAAGCAACAGTTTAATTAGTCTCAGTTTTAATATAAAATTCACACAATAGGTAATTATACTATTTTTAGAAAAGGTATGGTGGCTTTACAAAATGTAAAATCTCCAAATTTCCATGCATATCTCCAGATTTGATTTCTGGTGCATATGGTTTTCTAGCTTGCTTTTTCAATTTCAATAAAATATTCACTAAAGTTTTTAAAAATTGGTTTAAAACTGTGGGGGAATATTTTCAGAACCAAAAAATATTCTGAGAAATCTATTATATCTTGAATATAGTCATCTGTTAGGTAGGACTAAGCTTTTCCCTACTGAGGAGGAGAGAGGACCAGAAGGTCTAAATGCCTCCCCTTCTCCTTCGCTCTGACACTCCCTCACTACTTACTTACTAAGTGCAATTTTGCTGAGATAGATTCCAATATGCCTTGGTTCCTAGAACAAGCAAAATGATTTAGATACACACGTGTGTTTGTCTGCGAAAAGAGCTTGTCTGAAGCCAGAACGGGACTGGCAAGATTGTTCAATAATTAGATAAGGTCATGAATTCTGAATGCATAGATGAGAAGAAAAGGGAAAGAAGGAACAGTGGTTAGAAATCCATCCTGATGAGATTAGGCCAAATTTGTAACTAAAAGATGGCATATGAATAAGCCAGCAGTGTTTGTTTACATATCTGTGCTGATGGAGGCAAGTGGATGGAAATGCAGGTGCATCCAATAGTTGAGTTGGCGTGCCAAAGAGATGGGAATGAGTGGGACAATGGGACAACTCATCAAAATAAGAGAGGGGTTGATCCAAAGTATTCAAGCTTTCCTTAATTTTTTTGTGATGCTGAGGGAAGGAACAAAGAACCAGGAATAAATAGAGAGGCTGGATTTTTCAGGTCATGTTTCAGAGCCTTTTGCCTTATTATGAAATTTAAACTGCCCCATTCCCCAGCATGTTCTTCCATTGAGAGTATTTTTCCCCTCTCTTATGAGAAAAGTGGCAAAGGCAGATTCAATATGCAGGGTCCAAAGTTATTGGAAAACATGTGGGGGAGTAGCTAATAATTTTGTTCGAGAACAGTGGTTTTCAACCTTCCTAATGCTGTGACCCTTTAATACAGCTCCTCATGTTTTGGTGACCCCGTAAACACAAGATTATTTTCGCTGCTATGATGGAATTGAACCAAACATGGCACACTCCCATGACTAACAGAAAATACTGGAAGGGTTTGGTGGATATTGATCTTGAGTTTTGAACTTGTAGTTCACCTACATCCAGAGAACACTGTGGACTCAAACAATGATGGATCTGGACCAAAATTGGCACAGATATTCAATATGCCCAAATGTGAACACTAGTGGAGTTTGGGGAAAATAAACCTTGACATTTAGGAATTGTAGTTGCTGGGATTTATAGTTCACCTACAAACAAAGAGCATTCTGAACCCCACCAACAATAGAATTGGGCCAAGCTTCCCAAACAGAACCCCCATGCCTTGAAGGGACTCCTGGCACGAGCCTTCCTCAGCCTCACATGCTCTCCCTTGCCTGCACGTTCACCCCATGCTATCATATACTGAACATGCCTGCTATCCTCTCCCCACTTGGAGACTCAGAAACAGCCCTCCCCTTGGCTGAGAAGCTGTCTGAGAGGTCAGCCAACCACAGCAGAGGAGGGTTTTTAGTGGGAAGATTCATTGTCTGTTTCCAAAAAGGAAGAGAAGGATAGGTGGCGAGATCTTCATCCTTCTCTGCCAAAGAGGTTCCTAAGACCATTAGAAATATATGTTTTCCTATAGTCTTTGGCGGTCCCTCTGAAACCTCCTCATGACCCTCCCAGGGGTCCTGACCCCCAGGTTGAGAAACACTGTTCTAGAAGATCAACTAGAAATTTGGGATCTCTTTGTTAAAAGATATTACCCATCAGCCTTTCACCTTTGTCTCTGGGTTGCAGAACCGTTGCCTCAGAGTCTTCCTTCTGAGCCTGAATGAAAGGACCTTTCACTATGTAACATGATTTGTGTTCCTGGATTGTAAATGTTATTTCCTAATGGGTTCTATCATAAAAACATGGAAAAGGTTTATTAAACTGCAAAAACTTTGTGTGGGACATCCTGGAACACATTTTGCTATAGTTTTCCAATGGATATCTCTTGCAATCTCAACCAATTAAACATAGTTTGTGACAGCCACAAAACGAGGTTTCTGGAGTATAACAACTACTTTCAGAGTAAGTACTGCACAATTGGAGCCCCCGGTGGCGCAGTGGGGCTTGTTGATAGAAAGGTCGCAGGTTCGATTCCGGGGAGCGGCGTGAGCTTCCACTGTCAGCCCTAGCTTCTGCCAGCCTAGCAGTTCGAAAACATGCAAATGTGAGTAGATCAATAGGTACCGCTCCGGCGGGAAGGTAACGGCGCTCCATGCAGTCATGCTGGCCACATGACCTTGGAGGTGTCTACGGACAACGCTGGCTCTTCGGCTTAGAAATGGAGATGAGCACCACACCCCAGAGTCAGACATGACTGGACTTAATGTCAGGGGACTACCTTTACCTTTACTTACTGCACAATTAAATAGGAATAACACTTTCAAACCAGGAACAGAATTTTAGCCCCCCCACCACACCCTAAATAATATAATTTGCCACTGTTGACTGATCTGGCTTTTATTATTCCTGTCCTAGGTTCCATGTCACCCACATTGGGAAGAAATCTGTTTCTCATGGATCTCAGGACGAGTCTCCTTCTGATAATAAGCAGAACATCTGCTCCACTGACGCAAGCCAAGAGCTCAACAGCAGCGAGAAGCCCCAGTGGGAGGGGTCTCTGAATGGAATAGTTCAGGTGGATGGTCTTCAGCAAGGAACATTTCAGCAGGTGGATTCACAATGTCAAAAAGGACTGAAGGAAGACCATGCAGATGAGTCCATTCAAGGGAAGAATTTTTTAACTGTCATAACTAATCCAGATCATTTTGTGAATAGACCCGAAAGGAAAGAATCCCCAAATGTGAGTTCATTGCAACAGCCAGGCCTCCCAGGTACTGAAAAAAGCTGTATATCTGATATTAAGTGCTCTGAAGGACCTAGAAGCCCTTGCTCAGAAGATCTGGAGAAGGTCAAAAGCTTAGACAAAAAAGCTGGTACTACTGAGAAAGAAGGTATCCAAAGGGCATCTAATGAAGTATCAGAAAATAATGGGAGTCAATTTCTTCAAACAGGACCCAAAGTCAGACTATCTGTATCTGACTATGAGCTCAGAAGTGGAAGCAGCATAGCACACCAGGTAAAGGCTGTCATATCCTTCCTTTCCTTTTCCTGTGATTTTTTTTGTTTCTCGTCTTATCCATTAGGCATAGATGGATAAGGCAAGCCCTAGAGAGGTGCAAACATTTTAAATGGTTAATCATGCTTTGATCCTGGTTTCATAACTGTATGGACAGTGTGGTTGCACTGATGTAAAGACCGAAGACAAAAAGCTTGGCAAAGGCTGCTAGAATCTTCCAGATCTGGCTTAATGAAGTCTAGGGTAGATGCCTTGAGATATGTTGTGGTCAAAGGGGAGACCCAAATATCTTTAATAAACAAGCGAACTGAAACCATCTTGGAAATGAGAGATTATGTTTAAGATGTCTGAAAACAGGAGAGATTATGTTTAGGATGTCTGCAGAAAATCAGCCATCAAAAATGCCAAAGCACCTGAAGCCTATTTTTGAAGTGAGAGTAATGTAGAATAATTGCATACTCTTTGGAATGGAGTGCTTCAGTATCTAGTATGCGATTATTGTTTAAACTGGATTGCGTCGTATTTGTTCTTGCAGAATAAGCTGATGTTATGAAATGTGTGTCACAATTTTCATCTGTGAAATGTTGAAGGGTATACTAAAGATAGCGGCAGTCCTGGAACACTTCTTCTTTGAAAAAATCATTTAAACTGATGTTTCAAGACTATCCCTGTCTTTAATATACTTTCCAACATTTCACATTTCTTTTTGATATACATACAGTGAGAGGGGTCGGGTGGGGGGGGGGGCATTTTGTTCTTCTAACATTTTAGTGAATACATAATATGGAGTCAGTTGAAGCTATATATATTGTGACATGAAATGACCCATACACAGGAAAATCTGCCCAGCCTAAATTCATAGTTGCAGCTCTTTAATCCCTCATCCATTTCATTAAAGACTACATAAGCATGGCTTGTAAAACTGTTTGGGGATTTACTGATTTTTAAGAACAAACATGGATTCTTGGAAGATGTCTTATTCCTGCACAATTTCTTGTTTTAGATGGCCTATCTACACCACCTTTATCCATTAATAGTGAGGGACATCTTGCCAGATCCTACTTCTAGCCAGTTCAGTCCTAAGTAGCTCTGACTGGTATTCCAGGACTGTTGATATTTTTATAACACTTTGTCTTTAGTGTTGTAGCATGACTTCTTTTCATGCAAACAAATCCTTACTTAGGTGATGTAGCCGATTAAACTGCTAAGCAGCAGAACTCGCTCACTGGAAGGTCGGCAGTTTGAATCCGTGAGGCAGGGTGAGCTCTCGTTGCTAGCCCCAGCATCTTCCAATCTAGCAGTTCAAAAACGTACAATCTGAGTTGATCAATAGGTACCACTTTGGCAGGAAGCTAACGGCGTTCCGTGCAGTCATGCCAGCCATGTCCACAGACAATGCCAGCTCTTCAGCTTAAAAATGGAGATGAGCACCACTCCCCGAGTTGGATTTGACTAGACTTAATGTCAAGGGGAAACCTTTGCCACTAACTTTACTAACCCTTACTTACATCTTTTTTTGCTTCCATTCCCCCAGGAGCAGAGCTCTGTGCTGAAGGACTCAGGAGTCTCTGTGTGACGTAAGTTCCATGCTCTAAACCAGTGATTCCCAACCTTTTGTCCTTCGGGTATTTGGACTTCAGCTCCCACAATTCCTAACAGCTGGTAAGATGGCTGGGATTTCTGGGAGTTAAAGTCCAAAACAACTGGAAGACCAAAGTTTGGGAATCACTGCTCTAAACTGTCAGTGGAGGGAACTGAGGATGTGGGTATCTATACAGAACCATTCTCAGACTAATGTGAGGTGGAGCAGGGAAGCATTCGATAATGTTCATGTGTAAGTAGGAACTACTTTAATTCTCTCCAGTTTGGAAATGTATATGATTGCTACAAATTGAGATCAAATAAGAGCCTCAATTCTTCTTAAAAAGCAGTGAGTAACCATTACTTGCTCTCAGGCATTAATGTGAGAAAACATAAGCTTCTTTATGGTTTCCAAAGATCTTGGCACTGACTCCTTAGAGTACAGAGGACCACAGTTGTGTCTGCAGCAACTCCAACACTTCTGGAGTCATGTGAAGAATAGAATGATACATCTAGAAAGAATAGCATACTTCACCATTAGTTAACTTATTTTTATTTCAGTCCATCTTCATCCTTTTTGCACCAAAATTGTTAACAAAACAATGTAAACAACTGTTTTTTGAAAGTAACTATAAAGGCTTTGCAATAGAATGAGAACACAAGTAATTGTCGCAATTAAAACAGTTGAAACAATTACACCCATCAATCAAAAATCAAAACAATTTTAAAAGCCTGTTTGTAAATCCGTATCTTCACATCTTTCCTGAAAGCAATACAAGTGGAAAGCTCAAAGTCCCACAGTTTGAAAACCCTTCCCCACATACCTGTCAAGTGGGTATCCACAAGTGCTGGCATTCACAGGATCTTAACTTCTGGAGATGTGCAGAACGAAACAGGTGGTCTATTAACCATCTTTCACTTCCTCATTCCTTACCTGAACAATGTTTCAAATCAATCTATAGCAATAAGATATAGAGGCACCCTTGGGATCAAGATGCCTCCTTAAGATTCTTGGATGAGGGAAACTGCTGGCAATATACTGCTGGATGAGAATGAGAGACTGGCCAGGATCCTACATCCTATTGGCAAAGCCTAATGCTCTGCCTGGCCAATTCCATATCTGAAGGCATTATTTCAAATACTAGAATGCACTGCCACAGCCATCTACTGACTGGGAGGATATGGAGGTGATCAAGCAACATCCAGCTGGAAGAAGAGCGGGAACCCTTCCAAATCTCTATTAGCTTTTGTATGTCAAAACCACACTTGTTGAAAAAAGGACTATAGTAGTATTGGCCATACTTTCAAACAAAGGATTCCTAGTACTATTGGGTAAAAGGCACTTTGAAGATACTCCATTTCTAAGCATTTAAATAAAAAACAGGGAAAGTAATGGGAAAAGGTGGAAGAGAATATTGGGACACATGGTAAAATTTCATGAAGGAGGGCGTGTGATTCAAAAGCACAGTTTGTAGATCTTCTGTTTCAGGGCTTCTAGATAGTTTCCAAAAGTAGACAATCATCTTGTCCTATCTGTGGAGTTGTACCAGTGGTTATGATGTGTGGTGCTTCTAGATGAACCTTCTAGAGATGAACCTTTTAAACATGTGTCCTTTGTTTAATCTACGTTTTGTGTATTTTAATATGTGTATTGTGGTATTCTAACAATGTTTATGGGTTTAATTATTCTATAAGAAGGAGAGGAAAATCAGAAATAAAATTAATAATAATAACAACAACAACAAGTATGGTGGATATTGGTAATTTCACACGATATCTTGAAGAAATTGCCACTCTTTAGCCAGATTTTATCTGGGGCAGGGACTTCTAATGTCTTTCTCTGACCTGGGCTAATCTGGTCAGATAGAAAAAAAGTACAAATCTTCAACACTGTGGATTCTTCTCTGTTCCCAGAGATAAAGGGGAGAGATGCCTCCCCTGTTCAGTGCTTTAAGTGTACCAGCTATTGTGAGCATGATGTTCATCACATCTGTATATACATTAGTACACCATGATGTAGGTGTTAGATACATCTGCAATTTAGAAAATTACACCAGCATTTGGAGATTTCAAAATGCTTCGGGTTTCCCACTGTGGATTTATTTCCATGTTTGGATTATCTTTTAAGCCTTCCAATTGAGAATGTATGAATTTTTTTCTGAGCATATACAGAAGTGGTGGTTTCATAGAATCATAAACAAACATGCCAGTGTTACTTTCTCTTCCTACCTTTTTCAAAATTCATTTTTTTTCAGAATTCTAAAAAGTAAACATATTTATTTATTTATTTATTTACTTTGCTTGTATACCGCAGTTTCTTTGGTGATAGAAAAATAGAGACGTCTATGTGTTCAATGTGGTTTGGATTAGAAATGAAATAGTCCGTCCCCCCCCCCCCCGAAAATGTGTAGGTAGCATGGAGGTGGCCATACAGCATAGGGATGGCCAAAATAAGATAATGGGACCAGGAGGACAGGTATGCAATAGTCTGAATGCAATCCATTATGATTCACTTCATTGGTGTGGATAAGATACACTGGGTTTCTTTGCAATGAACCATAAAGGGAATTTAATTTTGGGATGCTGGACTGCCATTCTGCAAGAAACAAGTAAGAAAAAAAAATAACAGAAAAGGTTCACATCTAGAGACAGCCAAGGGCCTCATATATTTGTATTCCAAGTTTCCCTATCACTTCTTGTTGTTTTCAATGGAACTTGATTCTGTACATTAGTTGTAAACTGGCTTGCAATGAATAGAAAAGTATAAAGTTGCAAAGCAAACTTTTCTCTGCTCCCAATGCCACCAGCCTGGTTGCTGCAACATTTGTCAAATTGTCCTGGTGGAAACCTAGAGATATAGTAGCACAGACCGACTTACATGACAAGTGTATCTTCAGGTTAAGATCCACCAGGATTACTCTTCAGACTTAACCATTCCTGGGAGTAATTTTTGTTGAATTTGGTGGGATTTGTTTCTGAATAAAGATTCCTAAAGTTCTCCGGGCAGCATAAAAGACAGATAGGGCTGAAGCTGTTCTGTTGGAGGAATTAGGTATTTTCCTACATGTTTTTATACTTTGGGAATAAAAGATGACCATACAGATGCTGATGCACTTCAGTTCCCATCAAACCTAGGCAGCAGAAAGAGGATGAGGGATTTAGTTTATCTATTACTGGGGAGATCCTGATTTATTTGTCCTATTCAGAGTTGAACTGGTGCAGAAAGCATAATGGTAAAAGAATTTATGTGATTTTTGTTCATTTTTACATTCAAACATTAATTGGAAAAAATTCAAATTTTGACCTGACGTTTGCTCAATTTTTGAGGAAAATCCTATTTCTTAATCAAAATTGGCCAGTAAAACCCATAGTCAAAACATCTGCTCCCAATGTCTAGATATCACATCTGTATTGGTGTGTATCAATCAGTACATTAGTTGTAAACTGGCTTGCAATAAGTCTACTTTTTTTTTGTAGGTGCAATAGTTACGATTCCTGCTCTTTCCTTGCCCTCATTTCTCTTTCAGATTGCAGCTGCTCCTTGTTCAGGGTTGCCAACAGAACTGACACCAGGGTTGTAAGACTGAAACGGCCAGATCGGATCAAGCCAGGCCTGGCCAAGAGCTACATGGAACTTGGTGTGTCCTAACCAACAGCACCATGATGTGTGCTTCTTCAACCAGTAAGACTACTGCACTTGCCAAGAGTTTCACTCCATCACAATACTTATCCAACAGTGGAAGAAAAGCTGTGCATAGGGGCAGTGCCTTGCTATGGAACTGTCTACACAGCTCAAAATTCCAGTCTGTTGTCTTGAAAGCTTTGCTAAGGCCCGTGTTTTACAATCATATGCCATTTGGGATCCATGAGCATTTTTTCAAGAGGCTAGAATCCTCTTCTTCACTATGATGGAATATAAGATGTGGTGCTTTCAAGAATCCTAGACTTTTATTTGATAACCTGAAGCTCTCAGCCACTGACGGAGACAAGTGACGAAGTGAAACAACTTTAGCCCATTGCTCATTTCCCCAGGATACCCTTCCTTGTCAACTCTAGGAGACCCAGCCCTGAAGTGCCTCAGAATCATTCAATTTTTGGATTAGAACCTTTTAGAAGAAAACCACCATCCTGTTCCAGATGGTACCATTTCTGCATTAGCATCATTTTCCTGCATGCCAGTCAGGTCCTGTCTAAAGGTCTGGTTATGAGATATAATGCAGATCATGCTAAGAGCAAAAGAAAACAGGCCAATGTGGACATAGTGAGTATCCAATCAACCAATAAAGGTTCTGTGTTCTGTCCTTCCTACTGGTAGCTGGAACACGGATGGCCCAGGCTTTTAAAATGTTATTTGACTGCACTGTGGTCAGGAAACAAAGGGCCCTGAAAGCTATGTTAGGCTGGTAGTTAGGCCTCAGGATGAATTTGGCAGTTTCCATTACAGGCAGTCCAGAGTTTCATTTGATTCATAGTTAAGAATGGGGGTGAGACAATAGGAAGTGAGAGAAATCTACCCCCAGGAAGGGAAATTTACTCCTGAAAGAGTTATCATGGGAAAAAGGTACCTCTATTGAAGCTTTATCACCACTTTGTTTCCGCAACAACATAAATTGTTCAAAATCCAATTGTCACAGGGACAGAAAGGGAGGTGAAATCCCCTGAACAACTACACAGACAGGAAAAGAAATGTTACAGGGGTGTTAACCCTCCCTTAAGCTATCCAAAACTAAAATGTATATATTTTTTGGCTGGAGTTACACTTTAAAAACTTATCTGTTCCGACTTACTTACAAATTCAACTCAAGAAGAACCCTACAGAACCTATCTTGTTTGTAACTTGGAGACAATATGTATTTGCAAGAAGTGCCATTACAGCTCAGGAGCTGTAGTTTGATTTTTTTTTTTTTTTTTGGTCTCGCTTAGTTCAGGAGGAAGGCACTTTCCTCTGCACTGCAATAATGCTGCGGGCATTTCCATGTCTCATGGCTCAGATTATGCTCTGGTTTTCACTAGTCACATTGTCCCCTTAAACTTCAGGTAAGCAAGCGTTTTGTTGTGAACTTGGTGTGGTTTTTAACACAGTACATGCAGACAATTTGAATGGTGTGGTGATGAGAGCAGCTTTGCACAGCACAAACCTTGGAGGCTCTCACAGCAACTCTGGGTAGCTAGCTTTCCTCCATAGGAACAGAAGCCTGAACCTGGAGACCAGCTAGTTAAGACTTCCTGGGTCCTTTCTGTCATACTCTTCTGTATAATCCAGTCAATAAGCCATGACTTCCTTCCTTCCTTCACCTTACATTTTTTCATGTTCAAATACAATGTAAACAAAATCAATTAAAGGCGTTGAAAAGGTGCAATATTGTGTCTCTTTATTGGGGCAACACTCACCCATTGTCCCTTGCCTACTAGAGATGCAGCAGCTCACTGTAGAGGGCTGTAACATAACCCAAGGCAGCTCAAGGGAATAGGAGTTCATGTCTTGCCATGTTAGAAGGACAAAAATAGTTGAGAGATGAAAGTGCAAACAAATGCTAACTAGCAGCATTTAAAGCAAAGAGACCAGCTCTTGTCTTGACCCACAGATAATGATGATGATGATGATGATGATGATGATGATGATGATGATGGATGATTACTCACCTCACCGGGCCCTTCCACACAGCCATACAACCCAGAATATCAAGGTAGATAATCCACTATATCTGCGTTGAACTAAAATATCAGACTCCACACTGCCATATAATCCAGTTCAATGTGGATTTTATATAGCTGTTTAGAAGGGGCCTCCCTGTAGCTTGAGGTGGGATGCTTGCATAGCCTTGTGTCATGATCTAAGGAACATCTGTGTCAGGCAGAACCTAACATCTTTAGGCTAGAGCCCAGCATACAGAAGAAAGCACATATATACCCATGTGTCCATTTCCTTTGCAAACTCTACTGGAACAGAGGCATATTCTCTTGATCTGAGGTAGAGCATCTCATCACTGCCATGACAATGTTCCTCCCAGCATCCCCACAACTTAGTGGCGTTTGAGAATGTGGGTGTAGACTCCAAAGCAGCTACTAGCACCCAAAAAATTGAAGCAGAAACAGCTTTGCTCAGGATCACCACCAATCTCCAAGGGACGTAAACCTTTGTAGGAAGGTTGTTTCCTGAGAGATGTAGGATCAGTCAAGGCCAGGCACTGCATCAGCTTCCGAAGCCTTAGATGGTGGAGGTGGGGGAGCTCGAACCTGCAGAAAGGAAGAAAAAGGAAGAACGTGTGACGTGCACTGATTTAAGTTGCTCTGCTATGCCTTGTGCCCACACACTTCAGGAATAGGAAAAACAGGACTGGGTCACTGTACTTTATAAGAATCTTTCCACAAAACATCAAAAATTAGAAATTCAAAATTCATCCCACCACTTTTTTTGGAAGACATAGGAAACTCCACATGTATGTATAATATATGGAAGGAAAGTTTCAGCTGAAAAACAACAGGAAGGGAAACACCTCTCCTGATCTTCCTCCATTCAGAGTTTTATCTGCTCAGAATTATTTTGGGTTATCACAATGCGGGAGGATAGGTGAATTAAAGCAACAACAAAAATTCATTGATACAAGTAGTTTGGCCATTAAATGTGTATCCCCCCGTTTAATGATGGTGGGGAAAGCTATTTCTAGCTCAAAGGTATCTTCAGTTTGTGGGAGATGACGCTTAGGAAGATGTTTCATATAGCACCCAGAAACTTGTGTTTTACTGGTGCCTAATACAAGCCCATAATCTCACCAAAGGCCATGCGAAACTCTACACAGTTTATATACTGTGGTGGATTTTTTTTTGGGGGGGGGGGGATCAAATTATTCACAGCAGACCAACTATAATAGGCAAGGCTGACTGGTGCGCCTACTCATGTACAAGGTCTAAATGGCTCTTGTTGTCTAAGCTCCATTCAAATGTGTAGTAAGCTGGCTTTTTCTAACAACTATTCGAAAAATTAAAATAAACAAATTAAATGCCCATTGCACTGTTACTCCACATGAATTTTGTTGAAGGGCAAGACAGCAGGATGAGTAAGAAAAACTTAAAGAATAGATCACAAACTAATCAAATTCTGTGTTTTGTGCACATGAATGAACACTCGGGTATGAGCAAACCTGAGACTGGTAATAGTGAAGTTCTCAGAGATTAAGCCTCTGAGCCACATCATCATGCTGTACATGAGGGAACAACTTACAGGGCGAATGCGTGGTACGTTCAGGTCAGACGAACTAGACTCACTGGATATATTTCCTTGCCAGCTATCTAGAAGCAAAACAATGCAAAAGTTTTGATATGTAGCAAGTCTAGGGTTGGTTTCTGTACATAACAAGTATGTCCTTTCTTATTTTAAGGGCAGGTGTGGTTCAAACAGTAATCTATAACACCTCTATTGCAACAATTCTAGGAATCTGTAGTGTTATATCCATATCCTTTAGAATATTTGAATAATTCCAAAGCCATCTTTTATATTTCCTACATAACTCACCTCCTAGTTGAATGTAAGAAGAGGTTATGCCATGATCAAGGACTGGAGGAGAAAAGGGTGGAGGCGATGGTGAAAGCAGTTCCTGAAACAAAAAGGCCAAGCTATTTTAGATGACGCTGACTTCTGGCAAAAAGGAATCTATTCAGAAGCACCTTCCTTGAGTTTTCAGATGAGGCTACACTTTCAAAAGCCACATCTACTGGAATAAAGGACAGATAGGAAATCCAGGTGTTTTTATGATTTTCATACAATTGTCATATCAACCAGAAGTTCAAGCTTTGGTAGCCAGGTAAAATACAATAGTCATCAGGACTGTGCCCACCCACTGTTTCTGATTTTTTCACTGAGTTTCAGAAGCACTTCAAGGCCTCTGAATCACCTTGCCTATTTTTGAGAAAGCTGGCGCTAATCCATTCAGCTTAGAATGCTGCCGAAATCAGCACCAGAACTGTGGTGCATTCAGCTTAGAATGCTTCCAAAACAGCACCAGGACTGTGGCGTAGCTGGCTGGGAGTTAGCTGCATTACGATCACTACTGACCAAAAGGTCATGAGTTCAAAGCCTGCCCAGGTCTGAGTGAGCTTCTGACCAAAATTGTGTAGCTTGTTATCGACCTTTGCAGCCCGAAAGACAGTTGCATCTGTCAAGAAGGAAATTTAGGTACCACTTATGTGGGGAGGCTAATTTAACTGATTTACAAGGCCAAAATCTCCAGGAAGTATGCAAAGAATGAGGAAGTACTTCATCAGTGTCACAAACGGACGGTGAAGTGATAGCTCCTCTGGTGGCCAGAAGCTGGAATGTTAAATAGCCTCTGAGTGTCTGTCTATATATGTTGGGCGTCTATGGCATTGAATGAGTCCCCTGTGGGGTGAGAAGGGCAGAATATAAATACTATAAATAAATAAATAAACCCACAGCCTTCTGTGAGGGTGATTCCCTTTCTGCTTCCCCATCCCTGTCCTCAAGCTTAGGAGGAAGACTAGGACTTGCCATATTCACCAAAACAAAAAGATGTGTACCTAGGGGTGCCTATAATAATTCCAGGCATCTTTCTTCTGGTAGAAGGCAGTAGATTGAGTCCTCTTTGTGACTTTTGCTTTGTGACTTTTGCACAGTGTTTAACTACACTGTGTAAGTACTTTTCAGATGTTTCAGAAGACTCATTAGATCCCTATGAAACAGTTTTATGCAGCTGCACAATGGCAGCTAGCCAGTCCAAGACACAACCCCTGCTTTCCTGTACCACATGAAGAAGTCACCAATTGGTGCTGAGTGCTTTTGTAATGGGAGAGCTGCCAACTGTTGCCTTTCTGTATCCCTGTGAATGTACACCAACTGATCTTTCTACTCCACCAACATTAAACAGAGTGAGATCTTGGCCAGAGAAACAGAACTATTCCTCCTGGGACATACACAGACTCACCTGCTCAGTTGCCTCCTTAATGCCAGTTATTTCTTGCACCACCAGTGATGGGAAGACCCCAACCCTCCCATTAAAGTCCCCTTTCCAGAAGCCATCGTCTACAGCTCCCTCTTCCCGGGGCAGCACCCGGATTATGGCTCCTTCAGGAAAGCTGAGTTCTTCTGAACTTTGACCCTCATAGTCATAGAGTGCTCGAACTAATGAAGCTGCAGGAAAACAGAAGAACATACACTTTTAACAATACAGGTGACTTCTGCACCATCTATGCTGGAAATGAGGAAAGTGAGGCCCTTCAAATGTTGCTGCACTGCAACTCCAATCATCCTTCACTATTCCTGATCATGGGGCTGATGGAAGGGGCTGTTCAATTACATCACCGTGTCCTTAGAGACCAGAACCAACTACAATATATTTCTTTTCAGGTACAGACAGAACATGCTTGCTAAGGGTCAGGTTCAGCAGAAGCTCCCTTGAATTCTGTCCATATAACACACAATAGGCAGAGAAGATAAGGCATCCAGGTGTTTACTGCTATCATGAATGTGTTTCCATCTACTCCTTAGTCTCCAATTCTTTGTCTAATTTTGCAAGACATACCTCCAGGCTCCAGCATCAAGTCCATGCTCATTATGTTTGTCAGTTCTCTCTCTAAGGCCACATCAGAGGATCCCTCTTGACTTTTCCCATCTGGGGTTGATGGTTCTCTGCTTACTGAATCCAGAAAGAGGAGGTATTTCTCAGGGACATACCCAATCTGTCCTGTACTGTTACGTGCCTGAAAGCAAGTTGTAGAAGTGATGATCAGAAAACACCTTTTAAGGAGCTCGCAGTGGCGTCTACCTCTCATGTGTGATTGGAAAAGAAATAGACATCTAGAGGTTAGACTGTAACAGGTCATCTCCCACCCAAGGGTATAGTGTAGGTTAATTTCTATCTCATTACTCCAGCACAACTACGTTACATTGGTGGCCTTCAGTACCCCCTTCTGCAAGCAGTTTCCCACCTGTTACAGGCCCAGCTTGGCTTACTCAGCACAGCACCTGGAAAAGACACCAGAGTAGGCACCAGCATGTTGCCTCTGTATGAATAAAAATGCAAGACTTTGCACTCTACCAGTAATAAAAAGATCTTGACCTAGGCAGTAGCATCACTAGTAGATGGTGAATTCATCTCCAATGTGTTGTTTATTGCCCAGCACCCACTGATACTATTGATACCAGCCAAGAAACAGATTTTTCTTGCAGTATATTGTACAATATTGTCTAACTCGGCTTCGTTGCACCAACCTTGACCCACTCCTCCACGTCACCATCTTCAATGATGTCTAACTCCTCACCCTGGACAATGGTCAACTCATCGGACTGGCGAGCCTGGCAAGCAAGAAGATACATGAAGGCATAACACAAATTACACAAATATCACAACATTCTGGGTTGGTTTAAGATATGATGGGGCCCAAAGCTATGCCAAGGTTAGCAGAACCCACAGAATAAAACTCTTGGGTTGTGATGTGTGTATTAGTGCTAACAGAAAGAATGACAATATTTTAACACACAATGTAATTTTTTTTAGGTATTCACTAAGAAGCCTTTTAATTAACTGGGTTTGTGCATTAGTCTGGTTCCAATCAAAGACAGGTTTACAGAATATAGACAAACACCAGGGCTCCCAACCCATAATTGGTGCCGTCCTTCCACACTGATAAATGGGGGTCAAGAAAGAATGGCAGTAAGCATTGGTGGTCATATGATTTCTCTTTCTCTTGACAGCTATGAAGAAGTTAGTGCTTTCAATTTTTTGGCAAAAGAAGCACTCTGTAGATGTATTTATCTGTTAATACCTTCTGACAGAATCAGGTACCTCAACACTCTGGAGGCAGTTCTGTCTATGCTCTGAAAGTCTCCCAGAGATGATTTCCAAGCTTTTAAACAATCAATCATGATGTGATTGGCATGCGAGGAGATGGAGAAGAAAGGAACCATTACCTGGTAAGGGAAGAACACTCTGCAGGAAGAAGGATAGACTCGAGCCATGCTGGGGCTTGGCCTCATGTCCTCAAACAGGTCTGCGCTGTCATCGTAATCTTCAAACTCAGCAAGATCAAACTCTTCTGCCTAGTGAAATATCTTAAGTTACTATTCCCTGTAATACTCTATAGCAGAGGTCAAGCAAATATGAGATGCAGTTCCATACAAAAGGCAGAGAGACTCAGGTCAATGGGACAGGAGGAATTTTCTATTCCAGTAAAAAAGCAGGCTACTGAGAGAAAGGTGAAGAGAGGAAACAAAACAAATATTTTATTTCTTTACACTCAAAACTGAAGACTTCATTCTAAAGAGGTTATTCCTTACTTGGGTGGTGAAGACACAGGCAATGTCCAAAGTGTGCATCTCCCTATACCTCACCACCATAACATGTCACTTCTTCCCTGGCACCCTGAGTGGACAAACTCCAAGGATCACTCCCCTTCTTCCTTTGAGTTACACTACTTCACAAAATATAAATTGAAGAACTAAGAGCAAGAGCCATCTTGTCCAGTATAAACACACTGGTGTTGGTGACACCACTGCAAGGAAGAGTCAAATAGTCAACGACATCATTTCAACAGGAGGAATAGCACAGAAAGCTAACAGAGCACCTTTCTCTCATAACAGGGGTGGCTTTCTCTTCCATCTGCCTACCACTGTTGTTCACAACTTTTCAAAATTTCTTTTTTTAGCATAATGGCATTAAGACACCAAGAGGATTGCACTCAACATTTGCTTCCAGTCTTGCAGAAATCCTTTGGTTTGAACAAGGCATGGGGTGCACCTTGTTTTAAAGAAGGGTGACTCCCTGCACAATCTGTGGCCATCCAGGTGTTTGGAACTCCAACACCTAAAAGCCCTAGCCAGCTTGTCCAATGGCCAGGAATTCCAGGAGCTGAAGTCCAAAACACCTGGAGGTTGTGTAGGCCTAGAGAGTGTGTGGCATGTCCAACTCTGTCACTCCTTCCCACCTGCTACTAAGGAGGCTGTTCATGTCCTGAACCGGTGCTTGGCCGCTGTAACAGACTGGATGAGGGCGAACAAATTGAAATTGAACCCTGACAAGACAGAGGTACTCCTGGTCAATTGCAAGGCCAAACAGGGCACAGGGTTACAGTCTGTGTTGGATGGGGTTACACTCCCCCTGAAGTCGCAGCTTGGGTGTGATCCTGGATTTATTGCTGAGCCTGGAACCTCAGGTTTTGGTGGTGACCAGGGGAGCATTTGCACAGTTAAAACTTGTGCGCCAACTGCACCCGTACCTTGGGAAGTCTGACTTGGCCACGGTAGTCCACACTCTGGTTACATCCCATATAGACTACTGCAACGCACTCTATGTGGGGTTGCCTTTGAAGATGGTCCAGAAGCTTCAACTAGTACAACGAACAGCAGCCAGGTTGCTAACAGGAGCGTCACTCAGGGAGCATACAACCCCCCCTGTTGCGCCAGCTCCACTGGCTGCCGGTTTGCTACTGGGCCCAATTCAAAGTGCTGGCTTTGGCCTATAAAGCCCAAAACGGTTCTATAAAGCCCTAAACAGTTCTGGCCCAATTTACCTGTCTGAATGTATCTCCCCTTACGAACCATCGAGAACTTTAAGATCATCTGGGGAGGCCCTGCTCTTGGTCCCGCCTTCGTCACAAGTACGTTTGGCAGGGACGAGAGACAGGGCCTTCTCAGTGGTGGCCCCTTGGCTATGGAACACCCTGCCTAGGGAGATCAGATCTGCTCCCTCACTCTTAATGTTTCGTAGGCAAGTAAAAACATGGCTGTTCGAGCAAGCATTCACAAATGCAGAGTAGCTAATATAGGAAATCGAATGACTTGACAATGGAACTGGACAAAGCTTGATAATAAGGAGATGCTAATGAAGTTGTTTTTATTGCTCTTGTGGTGTTTTATATTGTTTAATGTCTTAATTTTATATTACGTTTTATGTGTACTGATTTGTTGGAAACTGCCTTGAGTCGCCAATTGGCTGAGAAAGGCGGTATACAAATACAGTAAATAAATAAATAAATAAATAAATAAATAAATAAATAAATACTCTAGTGACTTCCAGGAACAAAGATGCTCCTTTCTTTTTTGTAACACATATTTGTCAGAATGTGAAAATCCAGACTGCAGAATTCTGCAGGCAGTGGAAACAGTCACATGGGCTTTCCCTCTCTTGAACTAACACCAGCACAAGCACTTACAGACCAAAGAACTTCAAAGTTTCAACATCCAGATGAATTTCAGGGGTATCTGTGCTGGTAGGAGGAGTTTGAATGAAGGTGGATCATTTATTCCATAGATCTGAGTTTCTTTGGTGGTGTGATCTCTATCAAAATAGATGAGAAGAGACAATACTTACTGTAGGCGTTGACCCCTGCTCAGATCTGCGAGCTTCACTAAGCCGTCGCTCTTGCTCCATTTCATCCAGCACTTGCCCCATGGCACTTGCCAGCCAGGTGTCTACATCTAGGCCTGCTTCCCGCAGTAGCGTTAACCGTGCCTCAGCCTTCACTTTGCTGATCTGGAAAGGGAGCAGTGGCTGTCTTGTGATTCAAGCAATCAAACAGCAATTCCTCCCTCAAATAATTGCCAAATCTGACCACAAATGGAACAAAGGCAAAGATCAATGGTAATTCTGGCCTTTTAATTAAGGAAGCAACTGTTGCTAAGGAAAAGTATAATCTGAAAATACAATTCAGCACCATGAACGATACCATCCTTCCAGAATCCATAAAATATTTGCCCTGGCTGTAAAGGCTTGACAAAGAGCCTATTCCCCATCAACAATGTTTGATATTAAAAAATCTACCACCAATGTTAATTGATGCACCAATACCTTGTATCCTTCTATTTCAGGAGTTCTCAAACTTTTTTGGCTGCACCCTTTTTTAAAAAGTTTCCCGCGGAGCCCCAAGAAATGATTATATATTATATTAAATAATATATTATACATAATATGTGTGTGTGTGTTTGTGTGCATGTATGTATATGTGTGTGTGTATGTATATATATTTCAGGCATGGGCAAACTTTTTGACATAAACTTAACAGTATTTCAGTGGCAGATCCCAGGAGCCTTCCAATCCAACCCCTTCTGCCATGCATTAAAACCACAATCAAAGCACTCCCAGCAGATGGCCATCCAGTCTTTGTTAATAATAATAATAATAATAATAATAATAATAATAATAATAATAAGTACTATTATACCCTTGGTTTGTCAACTGCAAAAGGTCACCCTGCTTAGATCTGTGCACATCATTCAAAAATACATCACACAGTCCTGGAAGCTTAGGAAGTGTTCGACTTGTGATTTTCTTATGAAATCCAGCATATATATCTTGTTTGCTGTGATATACTGTGTTTTTGTGTCAGTAAAATAATAATAATACCAAACTACTCTGGGACTTCTGAATTCAGACTGGCAGAGTTTTGGAGCACAATACTCCTGACCTCACGATCATCGATGTTGCAATCCCAGGTGACAGCAGGATTGAAGAGAAACAACTGGAAAAGCACGATATGAGGATTTAAAGATCAAACTGCAAAGACTCTAGCACAAGCCACTAAAGGTGGTCCCAGTGGTGATTGGTACACTGGGTGCAGTGTCTAAAGACCTTGGCCTGCACTTAAACACAATCGGCGCTGACAAAATTATCATCTGCCAGCTGCAGAAGACCACCCTACTGGGATCTGCACACATTATTCACTAATACATCACAAGGTCCTAGACACTTGGGAAGTGTCCAACAAGTGATCCAATACAACAGCCAGCAGAGTGATTTTGTCTGCTGTGGACTCGTTGTGTTTCTAATAATAATAATAATAATAATAATAATAATAATAATAATAATAATAATAATAATAGCAACCTCAGGGGCCATCCAATCCCCTTCTGCCATGTAGGAAAAGCACAATCAAAGCGTCCCCTGAGTGGTGAGAAGGAAATAGGATTTTGGAAGCAAGCAAGGCAAGGGAAAAAGGCTTTTGAGGGCGATGGAAACAAGCACCCCGGCCATCTGTGGGGGGTGCTCTGAAATTGATTTGCCTGTTTCTTGGCAGGGGGTTTGACTGGATAGCCCACGAGGTCTCTTTTAACTCTATGATTCTAAGGAAGAAGGATTTTGTGGATAATGGAAGTGAGGAAAAAGGTCTTTTGGGGAAAGGGGGGGGGCAAGGGAAAAGGGCTTTTGGCAGCAAGGGAGGCAGAAGGATGGAGAGGAGCAGGAAAGAGGACAGAAAGATTAGAGGGGAAGGAGGAGGAGGAAACCACGGAGCCTCTCAGTATGCTTTGCAGATCTCTAAGGTCCCTGCAGAGCACATTTGAAATCCGCTGCTCTATTTGGTTTTCTGCTTTTTGTATTTTAACTGAGAATCAGCTGGAGTGGGGGGATAACCAAACCCCACTGGGTGTTAGCTTCTTTGGTTAGACCTGAAGTGACATTTATACAATATGAACCTGGTTCTAATGATGGTATTTGTTTGTAAAACAGGAAGAATTTGGATGTAAAAGCATATCTCAGCTACTCCTAGTGCTACATTCTATATGTGTACTGTGCTGAGAAAAGTAGGTCAGCAATTGCTTTCAAGTCCTTTCCACCCATGAACCTTTCATTTCTCCAGCATAACTCATATCCATTGTTCTTACTTCTGTACAAGAATAGAAATGTCTTCCAGATCTGGATTCATCACATGCAAGGCCGAGACAAAAAGTTGAGAAACATCATACACCCTCAGATCTCATCATGGGTGACTAAGTGCCCGCCTGCAATTTCACATCTTCCTGAAACTTGAACTTGCACAATGCTTGAGGATATGAACATACACAAAATACTGAAAAACAGATGGGGCAACCTCTTGATTATAATGGAGTTCCCCCATTTCTACAATATTTTCAGTCTAAGCAGAAACAGCATCAGAACGTAGATGTACACATATATAGAGAAGTGGCAGAGAATGGCAAATAGCCCATCAAGGACATCCATGGTACAGTATAAAGAATATATGTAAAACAAAAGGTGCAACAGACCAATCAGGAGATGGATAGAAGTGTACAGTCATACTTACTACTGCCTTTCTTATGTTCTCTCTTACTTCCTCCATCCTTTTTTCCATTCCAGTCATCTCTGCCTCAGGGACCTGTTGCCTCCTGGTTTCCATTCTCTGTAGAATCTATAAAACCCCACAGGAAAAATGAAATCAACCCAAACAACATAGTCACTACTCACATGATACTAGAAGAGAAGCCTACGTTTGCTGTGATCATTTCTTCTACTTGAAAGTGAGAAAACATTTTCCAAAAAATTAATAAGCTCATCAGTGGATTGCTGTGAGTTGTTTTCCAGACTGTATGGCTATGTTCCAGAAGCATTCTCTCCTGACGTTTCACCCACATCTATGGCGTGCATCCTCAGAAGTTGTGAGGTCAGTTGGAAACTAGGAAAGTAAGGTTTATATATTTGTGGAATAATGTCCAGGGTGGGAGAAAGAACTCTTGTCTGCTTGAAGAAAGTGTGAATGTTGCAATTGGCCACCTTGATTCGCATTGAATGGCCCATCAGTTTCTGGAGGAGGAGGGAATGAACTTTGCAGCAAATCATAACATGTATTTCAAATAATTAAACAGGGTGAAATACCATCTGGATGGAAGCTCTGGGAAAAGCTTATGACACTATAGTTGACAAAAGAGTTAGAAATAAAAATAAGGAATTTTCTTTGGCTCACATATAATTGCTCATCCCATCCTTAGTATAAACAAACTCTACTTTCTTTTGGACAAAAGGTAAAGGTTTTCCCTTGACATTAAGTCTAGCCGTGTCCAACTCTGGGGGTGGGATGGGGTGGTGGTGGTGCTCATCTCCATTTCTAAGCCGAAGAGCCGGTGTTGTCTCTAGACACCTCCAAGGTCATGTGGCCAGAATGACTGCACGGAGAGTCGTTATCTTCCCGCCATAGTGGTACCTATTGATCTACTCACATTTGTATGTTTTTGAACTACTAGGTTGGCAGAAGCTGGGGCTAACAGCGGAAGCTCACCCTGCTCCCCAGATTTGAACCACTATCCTTTCAGTCAGCAAGTTCACCAGCTCAGCAATTTAACCCATTATGCCACTGGGCGTTTACAAGATAAATTCCAGAGGAAGCCTGACTTCAACTTTTTATGGGAATGGTGTGCAAATAACCACAGGGAATATAGAGAGTTTTACAGTGTCTGATTACAACTGAGAGTCTTTGTTATGCTCTAAGGTGAAAAGAAAAGGTATTCCTTCACAAAATAAATGGTTGGTGAAGATATACAAACTGGCTAAAATTGACAAATTCATAATGCTGACAAAATGCAAATCTTTGACTAATTTTTTTTAAAAGATGGGGGCATGTTTATCACTTTTGAGAGACAAACTTATCAGGTTCAGGTTTTGCTTGATAGACGATGAATGCTTAAATAAGAAGTATAACTGAAACTGCATGTAATACACTAATACAGTCTTTAGTTAAAGGGGGTGAGGAGGGATGGATTTGTATGCAGCTTATGTGTTAAAGTGTTATCTCTGAATTCACAACCATGTCCTGCCTGGGTGCTTACCCCTTCACTGACAGTTTGAATCTTATAATCTTTAGCTGCCCGAGCAGCCCAACGGCGTGCTTCCTTCTCCAGCCCAATGTCACCAGCATTACCACCGTTTGTATGCAGAAGAGATGTCTGGAAAGGAAGAGATGTCTGTGAGAAGACACCACTTTGTCTCCTCCATGATGGGTGAGGGAAGCACCACTATCATCTTCCTTACCACCCGGTCAGCTCCTGCTGGCTGGAAAGATGGTATGGTCATTTCTGTGAAAGCAGTATTGTTATCCTGCAGGAAGAGGCGGAGATTCTCCTCTTGGCACACCTGCATGAATAAGCAGAAAGAGGAAGAAAAGTTAAGGAGAGGCATCTGAGAGATGCCTCTCCAATGAGAAGACAGTTGCATCAACAGTACTACAAAAATGCCTCTCTCTGCGTTCGATGCAGCATTGGCTAAAACATCCTTGCATCCAAGCTGTGCTGCCAAGTCAAATTTTTAGAAAATGCTGTAAACATCTACTTCTGATGAAGAAAATGAGATTAAAGGGCTCATTTCTAACATGTGCCCGGAGAAATTTGGGTGGGTGGAGGACAAGGCTCAAAACACTAAAAGGCCACTTTACTTTAAAAAACAAACATAAGAAGAGCAAACTATATAGACCACAAAAAAAAAAACTATATATTTTGGCCAGATTTTCAAGTTAGCACTTTCTTATTAAACTGTTTACTATAACCCTACAAGAATTCTGTGGCCCCTGTATATTACTGTCTTCTGCCCTTGTTTTTCTTCTCTCTGTGTGTTCCCCAACACAATCTTCCTTTCTGAGCACAATGAGAACTGCACTTTTTCAGGAATTCACCTACTAAGAATGTCCCAGGTGCAAAAAAACAAACTACCACGGTCTTCAAGAAGAAGAAGTAAACAATGGCAATACCATCGAAACAAGAGCCCTTGGGAATGACGTTAACAGTGCCCCCCCCCCCAATCCCTTCTAAACATTTGCAAAGTATCTGTGCTAGTGACAAGTTGTTTCAGTTCATAGTCCCTCTGTGTTTGGCCACAACATCTGTCATCAATATATTCCAAATACAAGTAAGTACAGTTGTTTCTCAATTTAGAGTATTCAAAGGCAAACCAGAGCTGCCAAATCCACACCCCTTTTCTTTTCCCAATTTCTTCACTATAATTAGTAATTATTTACATATACTATAATTGGAGTTTTTCTGTCAAATATTTGCTGATGTCCTCTCCTTCCCCTATCTATGAAACTACATGTTGTATTTCAGCACACACTGCTGTGTGGCTGGATGGATCTTCAGATTTGCAACTCCCAAACAGCTGCAACTAGCATGGATACTTGGCATACATCTGGAAGGATATGAAATTCAAATAGCAATAGTTAACACAACCACACATGGGTATTCCACAAACTAAATGGTAACCAGATCTTAACAGTTTGGAGCTTGAAATTCTGCCTGTGACAGTAAAAGGGGATGGCACCCAGTTGGGTCTTTTATAGTTCAAGACTGACAGCCTCATCACACTGAGGCAGAGAAGCATCTTCTCCCCGCTTCTCTTCATTGCTAACACACTGCTGGCACAGAGTCCCCCTGATCCCATCATATGACGCAGGGCTACTTCCGGGGGGACTCCGTACCAGCAGTATAGAGAAATAGAGCCCATGGAAGTTGGGTGTACGCCTGCCTTCTTATAGCAGAACACCAGAGGAGGCAAAGAGGAAGTGGGGAACAGTGGGGAAACATCATGAGAAAAGATACCACAACCCACAATGACTCATGATAGTAAGGAATGTAGCTGGGTTGTTGTAGGTTTTTCCGGGCTATATGGCCATGTTCTAGAGGCATTTTCTCCTGCCTCTATAACATGGCCATATAGCCCGGAAAAACCTACAACAACCCAGTGATTCCGGCCATGAAAGCCTTCGACATTACAAGGAATGTAGCCTTGATGCTGCCTCATAATTTCTCCACTGCCCCTGTCTTTGTAAGGGCCATCTGTTGAGATCCTGAGTAAAGAAGCCTAATAAGAAGGAATTATTTTCTTCTACATCTACTTCAAATTGTTTTTAAAGTAAAATTTATTTTCTAAAGGCATTAGGAACTATTATGTCCCAGGAAGATCAAACATCACTAAGGACTTCATCCTGCAAGGGGGGAAAAGTGGGTGGATCTGTCTTCTTTGCATGGCTTTCCATACTTTTCTACCTTTAAAGAAGATGGAGAACTTAGTCACCCCATCACACAGGATTACCTCCTTCTGTTTCTAGTTCAACCATTTGCTTCATTTCCATCACAACGGGAGACCAGCACACTTTTAAACCACTTATTTCAACAAGATCTGCCGAGTCCTCTTTAAACCCCTATTTCAGTGGTTCTCAATCTTCCTAATGCCACGACCCCTTAATACACTTCCTCATGCTTTGGTGATCCCCAACCATAAAATGCTATTTCATGACTGTTATTTTGCTGCTGTTATGAATAGGAATGTAAATATCTGATATGCAGGATGTATTCACTGGACCAAATTTGGCACAAATACCCAATACACCCAAATTTGGATACTGGTGGGATTGGGGGAGGGTATTAATTTTGTCCTGTGGGAGTTGTAGTTGCTGGGATTTATAATTCACCTACAATCAAAGAGAATTCTGACCTCCACCAATAATGGAATTGAGTCAAACTTAGCACATGGAAGTCCCATGACCAACAGAAAATACTGGAAGGGTTTGGCCGACATTGACCTTGAGTTTTGGAGTTGTAGTTCACCTACATCCAGAGAGCACTGTGAACTCAAACAATGATGGATCTGGACCAAACTTGGCATGAATTTTCAATATGTCCAAATTTGAACACTGATGGATTTTGGGGAAAACAGGCCTTGGCATCTGGGAGTTGTAGTTGCTGGGATTTATAGTTCACCTACAATCAAAGAGCATTCTGAACCCTACCAACGATTGAATTGGGCCAAACTTCCCACACAGAACCTCCATGTCCAACAGAAAATACTATGTTTTTAGGATGGTCTTTGGTGACCCCTCTGACACCCCCTCACGACCCCTCCAGGGGTCCTGGCCCCCAGGTTGAGAAGCACTGCCCTATTTTCAAGACCAGCACACTTTTAACCACTTATTTCAATAGGACCCACATAGTCTTTAAACCACCAATGGAGATAGAAGGAGCACTGAGGGGCATTAGCAGACTGCCCACCTGAACACCCACACTGAAACGTCACAAAACCTAGCGTAAAAGGACACATCCACCACTTCCCATCCCAAGAAAAACACCAATGTTTAAGTGTTTCTATGTGCAGGGAGAGAAGTTGATTCCTACCCATCTTTCAAATCCCCCCATTTCTTCACACTGGAGAGACAGAATGGGTCATGCATTATTTGATGGGATCTATGTGATTCTGTCTTTGAGGAAATGGAGAAAAACCCCCATCTGATGAGGTCCTAAATAAGGCACCACATATACTAGGCCAGAAAGTAAAAATCAGAAGGAACAGTGATACAGAAAATTCATGATCATATTGGCCAACTTAACATTATCAGTTTTCAAGCAGTCATAGGGCTCCAATTTTTCCATAAAGCAGTTGTATAGGGGGAAGGATGTTCCTTGACCCACTTTCAGGTTTGAGGTTTTATAGATACAAAAACAATTGTCTACAGGACAGCAAATAGCAGCTTTGTTGACTATTTTGGTCTTACAATCACACAATGGTTGTATTCACTACCTTTGCAGACTCATCAAAAAGAATCTGAAAGAATTCTTGGGTGCCTTGGCAGACCTCTAATTCTGTCTTGTTAATCAAGGTGAGCTGGTCTCGGAGTCGTTCATAAAGGTCCCCATCTAGTACCTGAAGAGAAATGGAACAAAGTAATATAAAATGTGGATGATATATTAGGGTTATCTCTGTTTTGCTGAACATTGCAAAGTTTGGGAATTGCTGTTGTCTTGTTATAACAATAACAAGACAAAAAACATAAAATTGCAGAGGATCTCATAAAATAATGTGTGAAAGAACTAGTCAATTGCATGCTTGGGGAGGAGGACATGAGAATGTTCTAACAACACTGTTTCTGGCCATATTCATAAAATCTCAGATGAACTAATTAATTAAAAAACTGAAAAATTGTAAAGTGTTTTCAATGCAATGGATGAAGGTTCAGATGTTGCCGGACTTGTGATATTGTTTGTTTTTGTAAAGTATCTGTTTGAAGCATTTATCAAATATTTGTTTATATGAATACCTTTGGAGACCAATGCAACCAGGGAAGAAATGTTTATAAAAAATCAATTGTTACATGTATAAACACAATTTTGATTAGGATCCATGTGTTAACGTATGCAGTTTAGGGGCAGGATCCACAAAACGTAGTAAAAATCAGGGATAGAATTAGGGTTCCCGGGAGGCGGGGAGCCTTCTGAAGGGTTCCATGACTGAAAAAGTTTGGGAATTGCTGTTGTAGATAATTCTGTTTTTCAAAAGGTAGAAGGAACATGGACATCAGCAATCCTGGACTCAATCCTAGCCAAGAGTAAAAAGTCAATTACTGGACTAAAGTGGTTGGTGCTACAATTGTGGGAGAGGCCAAATAGGAGTATAATCAAAAACAGACTTTGAATTTCAACAAAGCTGATTTTATAAAGCTCAAGGAAATACTAGTTGGAACTTTAGAATTATAGAATCACATAGAGTTGGAAGAGATCTAGTGGGCCATCCAGTCCAGCCCCCTGCCAAGAAGCAGGAAAATCACATTCAAAGCACCCCTGGCAGATGGCCATCCAGCCTTTGTTTAAAAGCCTCCACCACACTCTAGGGCAGAAAGTTCCACTGCTGAACAGCTCTCACAATGTTCAGGTGGAAGCTCCTTTCCTGTAGTTTGAAGCCATTGTCCCACATCCTAGTCTCCAGGGCAGCAGAAAACAAGCTTGCTCCCTCCTCCCTATGACTTCTCCTCACATATTTATACATGGCCATCATGTCTCCACTCAACCTTCCCTTCTGCAGGCTGTGTCATATATGCATCATCAGACACCTTAGGAAGGGCATCAAGTTGATAAGGAGATAGTAAGACATCACCTAATTAACCTTAAACGAGTTTTGTGGGACCAGATGAATTGTATCCCAGGATACTAAAGGATCTTGCTGATGTACTCTTTGATCCACTTGTTATCATTTTTAGAATATCTTGTAGGACAGATTAATCACCAGAAAAATGGGGAAAAATAAATAAAACTACAGATCTGTCAGCCTAATTTCAATATCATAAAACAAATATTAGAAATGAGATTATGTAAGAATCTGTTTGCAGGTATCTGGATGACAATTCTGTGACAAACAGGGATAGAGTTAGGGTTCCCGGGCTTTGTCAAGAAAAAAAAAATCTGCCAATCTAGTTCTGGGGATGATGGAAATGCTGTAATTGTTGTTTATCTGGATTTCAGCAAAGCATTTGATAAAGACCTCTGCGATATTTTGTTTAGTAAACTGATTAAATGTAGAATAGATGGAAACACCACCAGATGGATCCATAATTGGTTGAAAAACTATACTCAAAGAGATGACAGCATTGTTTCAGATTGGAAGGCAATGTTAAGTGAAGTGCTGCAAGGTTCTGTCTTGAGGTCGACACTCAATGTTGCTATGGATTATTTAGATCAGAGGTGGGGAGCTCTTAAGGCCACATCTGGCTTTCTAGATTCTTAAGTGCAGCCTTTTGATTGCGTCCAAATGTATAGAACAAATCCTTTTATTGTTATTAATGCATTTTGCTCATCTTTTATATTTTTATTTTATATTTCTTTTATATTTAGAATAGTTTTGATGAAACCCTTCTCCAGACTTATTATCTGCTTAACAGCCTATCACGTCAAAGAAGACCAAGAAAACGCTGAAGGAAGAATAATTGAAATTGCAGATTTCCACATACATTTTAAAGATTTTTGAATGTGGCCTTCCAACATGAAAAGGTTTTCCAATCTTGATTTATATGATGGGACAGAGGGAATTCTTATCAAATGTGCAGACGATACAGAACTGGGAAAAGTTGATCTTTTAAGTTGAATATGAACCAGCAGTATAATGTGCAGCAAAGAAGGCAAATATTTTAGTCTGCACTAATAGAACCATAGCTTCCAGATCTAGGTAAGTAATAGTTCCCCTATATTTTGCACTAATCAGTCCTCATTTGGAGTACTGCATTAGGTTCTTGATCCTTGTTTTAAGATGAAAAAAGTAACCTGGAGTAAGCTGAGAGAAGGGTATGGTGAAGCATTGATTTTTAACTGTAAGTTAAGTGTAGTTATGTATATGTGTCTCTACAGTTAAATATGATTGTATATATATATTGTATATATATATATGCTTAGATGGTTGAATATTATTATATGTATGTGTTCAGGAGGTAAAAGACAGTTATGATGTACATAAAGGGTTAACCATTTAGAAATGGCAGAACTAGGGGGATGGGACCAAGTTCAGCACTCTGAGTTAGGTTGCCATGGAGAAAGGGGTGGAGCCAAATGCACTTACCAGAGGCAGACATTTTGAGGCTTCAGTCCTTTGGTCATCGAGCTAGAGGGAGGATGGTTCAAACGTGATGAACCAAACTAAGGGAAAGCTTTTAGCCTGAGTGATTTAATTAAGTCAAGGGGACTTATTTAGGTTTGTGGTTTAGCTGTGTTCTAATAGGAGAAGAAATCCCACTGGGAATCTTTACTTCAGCAGGAAGCTGAAGGGAGACAGGGGCCTTAGCTGACTTTAGTTAATCTGTCAAATAAGGAAACATATTTAGAAGTGTCACAACTAAAGAACTAGTTGGTGAAGTAAAAGACATCCTAAAGTTATATTAAGATTTGTTGAAACTGTAACTCGTGAAGCTTTATACCTCAGGAGAAGAGAACTCTGAAACCATTAAGACCCTTCCATACTTCAAATAAACTTGTTCTTGTTTTAGTAACTCAAGTCTCAGTGTACTATTTCAAGGGAAAAAAAAGAAAAGAAAAACCTCGCTACATACCAAAAGAAGCACTACAGAGTGGTAGCAGTGAATCTGTTTGAAAATAGGGAAATCCATTAATAAACTAAATAGGAAACCCTTATTAATTGGTGGCAGCATAGTCTAGTGCCTCACAGATGGTGGCAGCATACTAGATTGAATAGAATATCACACAACGAAGAGGAAGCCTTTACAAAGGGCAACAAGGATAAGGATTATGGAGGTCAAAACATATGGGGTTGAGGAACCTGAGCAGGTTCACGCTGGTGAAAAGAAAACAGAGGAGTGATATGGTGGCACTCTTTAAATATCTAAAGAGCTGTTGAGAAGAGGAAGATGCAGAGTTGTTCTCTACGGCCCCAGAGGGCAGTATCAGATCTAAAGGTTTTAAGTTACAGGAGGGTAGATTTTGGCTAAATATTAAAAGAAACTTATTTGTGGTAAGGGCAGTTCAGCAGTGGAATCAATAACCTAGAGTGGTATTGAGGTCTCTTTCTCTGGATGCCATAAAAAAGATGCTGGGTGCATTGAGCAGGGGTTGGATTTAATAGCCTAGGGGGGCCCTTCCACCTCTGTGATCCTAAGCACAGCCTGGAAAGTGTGAGGGATTGTGTACATACTAAGACAAAAGTCCCTACCTTGAAAACAGTTGGCAGTTCCACATGGTAGTAATGTCCCAGATGGGCACTAGCAGCTGCCAGAGTCAAGAGGTACTCATTTCGTGCCATCACCAGCTGTTGTGAATTCTCTGCCATCTGCACAGAGAACTGCAATGAGAGGAACAAACAGCTATGCACACTACGTTTTACAAGTCCCTCATCAGTCCGACAACCCACACTTGCAAATATTCTGCCAGTCTGGGCCTTCACAACTTATCTTTTTGCAATAGCTGGCAGACTGAGCCTCTGACCTTGGCACTGAGCTTCTGCAAGCTGGCTTTGGTATGAAATATGCCGTGATCACTCTTCCTGAGCCTGTGTGGGAAAGAATGTTTATTAACTTCCACAAGGAGGCCCTCAGTACGGGAAAGTCCCTGGAAAGCAGTCGACTTGTGAAAGGAGGATAACTCTCCACCCCAGTCTTATGGCACTCCCGAATTCTCTTGCCTATGGAGCATAGTACTGGAAGCTCACCTGGCATCTACATCAGCAGCCTTTTCTTTGGTTACTTCATTGGCCCGTTGGATATTTATGTAATGCTTTTTGGTTTTGCTGACTTCTTTCACTGTCTCCTGCAGCTCAGCTTGTATATTCAGCAACTGTTCCATGCCCTGGGGTGGGAGTATGAAGGATATTATACTATTGGTTTAGGTGCACTTCCCTGCCTTGTTAGTAGCTGCTCTTCAAAATGCAAGAGCAGAATCAAAGCATCTCTCGTCTCTTAGAAGGATGCAAATGACGCTGTCCCACCCCAATGGTACCTTTTTAAACAAATGCTCTTTTGACAGCCGAGATGTTTTAACTGCCTCCATGCTCACAGTACGATAGGTTTCTGAGGCGGCAACCCTGGCCTGGCCCAGCGAGGTGGTGCCATCCATCATGCTCTTCCAGGCTGCAAAGATGCTTCTGCAGAAACATTGCAGAAGGACACAATGTTATCAGTTCTCATTGACCTCTGAAGCAATTTCCAGGCAATACTAATAGAACACTATTGCTGCTTCGAAGAAACAAGCTAAGCGCGGCCCAGCCTGCTTCAGATGTGTCCCTAAAGGATCGCATGACTATTTATATACTGTTATGATGATTCCTCTCCGTGGCCTCTTTGAAGCAATAAAACCACTTCCTGAGCTCTCGGCGTAACAGCTTTATCCACAAAAACCCATCTGAACTCATTGCTTATACTTTATTGCACCAACCCTTTTATCTATTGCATCAATCCGTCTATCTTTAGACCGCCCCAAAAGGCTCTGGAACTTACTGCTGCCACATGGGCTGAATTCCAGGAAGCCATAACAGCTTGAAGGCAACAAAAGCGAATGGTTTCTTGAGACAATCAGGTCTTGTTTCAAGGTCTGTCTGCTTTTTTTTCTGCCAGTCATGCCTCTGCTACCTTGTTCCCGATCTCTTCCCCTCTTGCTGATTTCATTCCCTCGTGCCTGACCATTATTATTATTATTATTATTAAACTTTATTTATACCCTGCCACCATCTCCCCTCAGAGTGGCTAATATGAGGCATAGCCCAACAAATACAATAAACAAAATAAAAAATATATAGTTCTTGTGGGTTTTTTCGGGCTATATGGCCATGTTCTAGAGGCATTTCTCCTGACGTTTCGCCTGCATCTATGGCAAGCATCCTCAGAGGTGAGGTCTGCTGGAAACTGCTGGAAACTCAGGAGAAATGCCTCTAGAACATGGCCATATAGCCCGAAAAAACCCACAAGAACTGAGTGATTCCAGCCATGAAAGCCTTCGACAATACAAAAAATATATAGCAGATATTATGAAATTAAATACACAAAAAATCACACAATAGGATAAAACACAGTGTATGGGTGCAGTAAAAGTTGAAACAGGGGTTAAACAAGGTGGGCTGGGCCAAATGCAAGAATAAAAACTTGCAAGGGCATCTTACCTTTTTGACAATACTAGGACACACCATGGTACATTTTTACTTTCTCCATCCTAGCCTTGGGTTCTTCACTTTCTAAACTTTTCTCTCTAATAATGTTTAGAGAAACTTGGTGGACCCTTGCTTCCTGTACCTAAATTCACCGGCAAGCAGACTCATAGGAATGTACTTGTAGTAAGGTAAAGGTTTCCCCTGAGAGTAAGTCTAGTCGTGTCCAACTCTGGGGGGTGGTGCTCATCTCCATTTCTAGGCCAAAGAGCCAGCTTTGTCTGTAGACACCTCCAAGGTCATGTGGCCAGCATGACTTCATGGAGTGCCATTACCTTCCTGCTGAATCTACTGCTTGATCTACTCACATTTGAATGTTTTCGAACTGCTAGGTTGGCAGAAGCTGGGCCTAACAGCAGGAGCTCACTCTCCAGATTCGAACCACCAACCTGTCGGTCAGCAAAATTCGGCAGTTCAATGGTTTAACCATCAGAGGTTAAACTTCTCTACTGGTAGAGAAGATATAATTTAATTTCAAAAGCTATCATACAATTTAATTTGAAAAGCTGTCTTCTAAGTTTTAGGAATACAACAAGTGAAAAAGATGGCAAAGGAAGCAGATAGACTCTTCTCAGCCCCAACTGCATTCAAAGATGCGGGCAGAAAAAAAAAACTACACTTTCCCAGATACATCCATAACAAAAAAGCAGAAATGAAATTAAAGACAGTAATACTGTTACTTGGTCAAATATAACCTCTTAAAAGCATCAGTTACCAGTGGTAGATTCATGAGACTACAAGGAGATCAAGTTGTTTCCTTAGGCTAGGTTCAGTATGTACTGACCACAGTACCTCCTTCTCCAGGGGGAAAAATATAAGCAGAAATTGTCATCCATACTTTTTCTTATCTTAAATGCTCTTCAAATGCTTTCCTTTTAAAAAACTAAACTGGAGCCACTAAAGCAGAGGTGCTCTCTCTCCCATAAGCCGAGGTCATACAAAAGCAATTTCCACCTGGAATCATTGGTGACACTCCAGCCACGCTGCCATTCTCTCTTCTGGAACTGACTTGCTAGCCTCTGCAATGCCTGAAAATAAACATATAGTTGATTAAAAAAAACTGCTCCCAATCTAGCTTACTATCCAAGTAGTTTTCCAATATAGCTCAAAATGAATAACGAATAATAACACCATCATGGGCTATGTATGTGCCCCTACATTGGCAGTTTTCAGAAAGAATTTGAAAACCTGGCTGTTCCAATGTGCCTTTTCAGACTAGGAACCCCAGTACCAAACCCCAGAAGCACTTTAGCTAGGACCAAGATCACCGCAAACCGCACACCGCACTTATATTATAATCCCATATCCCTCCGACACATCAGCACTTTTAATCCTGTACCCCCACTCTGGCCGGCTCAGTTTTTAATAATGTCTTGTTGTACTGCTATTGTTATTGTTCTTGCTTAACTGTTTTATTTGCTAGGTACTGTATTGTTATATTGTGTGGGCTTCGGCCTGCTGTAAGCCGCATCGAATCCCTTGGGAGATACTAGCGGGGTACAAATAAAGTTATAATAATAATAATAATAATAATAATATGTTTCGTTGGAATTTCTTCTGCATTCCCAAGAACCCCTCCACTCCAAATGGCTACCATGCAGACCTGAAGCACACACACACACACACAGATGGCCCCTGAGCGCTCCCCTGACTGTTCTACAGCAGTTCTAACTCATATGTGCAGAGAGTATATAAAGCAAAAATAAGGGGGCAAAAGTGATGCATTATTAGTCACTAGATCTGAAGGAAAAACTTATTTTGGAAGGCAGGATTATCATCTGAGGAGACCGTGCTTTCCTTTGCCCTTTCCATTGCTTTACCTTGATATCTCCTTTTCCATTAACAGCTTTGTCCAGACTAGGCAGCATATCTGAAGTTAAATGATTGGATGGGAGACTATCTGGCTCCTCCGTAATGGCCTAATTTCCATTTTTAAGGGAAGAATAAGACTAAAGGATAATAAATACTTAATAGCCCTGCCTACTGTCTGCCAGGGTCTCTGCAAGCATGATTACCATTACCTTACCTGGAAAAAAAAAAAAGAAACACACACACACACACAGAACCTTTCCTTAATTTCAATGTAGCAGTACAAAATCTGGAATCTGGTACAGAAATGAGCTCCCTAAGAAACAAATATTCCTAGAATACAAATTTGAGTAGCTCTGATTTGTGAAGAATCACACGAGTAGATTGCTATCCATTTCCTGTTCACAATGGTGTGTGAAACAATATTAACCCACTAGCTGTACCCGCCATGCGTTGCTGTGGCCAACCTTCCCTCCCTCTTTCACTCCTTCTTTCTTTCTCTCCTTCCTTCCTTCCCTTTTTTTTCTTTCCTTCTCTCCTTCCTTCCTTCTCTTCCTTTCCTTCCCCCCTTTTCTTTCACTTCCTTTTTCTCCCCTTTCTTCCTTCTCCATCTATTCTTGGACTGCAACTCCCAGCAGTCCTCCTAATTGATCTACCTACCTATCTCTATCTAATCTCTCTATCTGGAGGATTGCTGGGAGTTGCAGTCCAGGAATAGGAAATTGGAAATATGCAGGGATTGGGATGTTCTCAAAGAAATCCAAGGAGAAGAAACCTTGCAACTTGGAAACAGTGCATTTGGATCATCCTCCTCTCCTAAAGGGCCTGGTCTAGGGGATGCTGGGAGCTGTAGTCCGGAAGAGAGTGTGGATATGCATATGCGCTGTAGCATCTTTTCGCTTTTTTTTGGCTTTTTAAGTCTCTTCCGCTGTGTTTTTCAGTGTTTTATGAGTGATGGTCATTTATTGGCCTGATAGGTGTATTGTGTCCAAATTTGGCGTCAATTCATCCAGTGGTTTTTGAGTTAATCCCACAAACAGACATTACATTTTAATTTATATAGATTATGCTAATGCCAAAAGACCTAACATCCATTCTTTCATCCCCACCTTCCTTGCTCCATATCTTCCTACTTCCCTGACTAATAGCAAGACTGGATTTTCAATTAGTTTGCTGAGGCCCATGATTGTGCTAACATGGAAACTATTTAGTCATCAGCAGCCTCTTTTTTACTTCTTAGAAATTATGGATCACCCAAAAGGAGTGTGTGTATGTGTGTCAAAATATTTGTGCTTATAAGCTTTAATTTTCTTAACGATTTTGTTATTATAATGAAAAATCTTTACCAATAAAATAGAGATTAGTACGAAAACTGCTTTGATGGGCAGTAAAATATTCATACTAATCAAAACGAAGAGCAGAGGAAAGTTGATATTGAACAAACAAGATGGCAGCAAACCAAATACGCAGGAAAGATATATGGTAGGACAGAAAATTATCACTTTACATCTTTAGTCTTACAATATGAGTTTGTAACCACATTGGATAAGGATCAAGGTCTCAGGAATGACAGCAAAGGAAATCCATCTATTTCTACAAAAAGTATCCAGATACAACCAAGGAAGAATTTGTAATCGGGCAAGAGAAATAGTATTAAAGGGAAGGATTCTGTCAACAGAAGTTTCTTTTAGCTCTGCTGCAAAAGAAGCTCTGCATTCTAGACATGTCAGATCAAAGCACACTGTGTTCTTAAAGCCCAAGGTATAACTCACAAGGTCCTTTCAAAACACAACGCAGGTAGGAATCTAATCCATGCTCAGTGCCACTGCGCAGCTTAAAGACCGCATGTAGAATTACAACACATTGTACCCCGACTTCCAGAAACTTTGCACTGGCATGGCTAACTTTGCTTACTTTCATCACAGGGAATTGGAGCTCCGGGTTTAAAGAGTCTTAATAAATAGCTGCAAGCTGCTATAGGATCACTGGCTTCAAGAAGAAGCTCAACTAAGCCTTGTTAGAGTGCCCCGCTAAAGTCTTGATCATTAAAGGATTACCATGTCTGACCTCAGCTTCACTGGCTGGCAGCTCCAGTATTTTATCTGTGTTCTCTGGGTCACTTCTATGAGTCAGGGAAAGGTGCTGGCATACAGAGAATGGACTAAACTTCCCCACTGTCCCACTCTTGATCCAATTTGTTAATTAGAAACCTAAATAAAGGTTGGACAGGGAATGGAATGGCCAAGGCTGGCAGCTACAAAGTGAAAGCAATTGTTTTCTCCACCATGAATATAATCTAAATTAGAATAGAAAAAAAGTATTTCAGCACATAATAGTCACTGTGCCGTTACACCCAGACGTTATAAAAATAAACGAAGATGTGCTGCTCTCTATGTCTGAGCGAACTGTGAGTGTCTTTCTTTGGAAGCTTGAGATAGTCAGCAACTGAGACTATTAAAGGTTGAACATCCAAAAAAAAAAAAAGGATATTTATTCTTCAAATCCTTGCAGACTTGGCACAGTTCATCAAAGGTATAAACAAACAGTCAATAAATCACAGATATATACTTTCTTTCTCTTCTCCTCCAGGCACTGAATTGACTTTTTCCCCAGAATGGCAGATAAGATTCTGGAATTTTTTCACCCTAACCCTAAGCTATCCATGGTTAGAAAAAAGCAGGTTTTTCCCCCTATCTATAGCTTAAGGTTAGTTCTGGAGATGAAGCAGTGAAGACTCTCTCTATATCTATATAACTCAATTTCTCAGTAGGCTTCTCTATCTATAATACCTCAATCTTCAATTTCTCAATCAGCTATAACTCAAACACTCAATCAAGCTTAGCTATCTATAGTATCTTAATAGTCTTAATATCTTCAATCTATATCTCAATATCTCAATATCTTTATCTTTCTATCTATTTCTCAATATCTATCTCAATCTTCCTACCTAGTTCTCAATAGTACTTATAATGATTTTTCCAGAGCTAACCTGACCAACCACCATCACATCTGAAGTTCCTTCTCTAACTAAAAAGGCAGGGGAGATTCCAAAATGGAGATCTCAAGCCCAGGAGAAGGGGCGGGCTCTAAACCCAAAGTGCTGCTCTCTAGGCCAATAGTTGCAAAGAGGCCTGCAGGCTGGCTTTCCAGCCTCCGAAACTGTTAACATTTCAGGGCTCTTGCAGAGCTGCAGCAGCCCTGGGAGGAAATGCAAGGGGGAGCAACTTCAAGCAACTGTAAGGTAAGGCAAACCAGTCTCCTGGAAGATGGAACAGTCACCATCATGTAATAGCCGTGGCCCCATTTTTTGGGATCCAAAATTGATGTTTTAGTATTCTTTGCATCATAGTTGCCCCTTTAATCACTTTAACATCACTTTAATAAAAAGCTATTGAATTGGTACATACAACTGGCATTTTTTTCTTCATGTAACAGTCACACCCTTCTTTTTTACTCAAAACAAGTGTGACTATTATGAGATGAAATGCAGTATATTTCAAACAGGCATCTTAGAATGCTTTTATTGTCTTACCTGTCCATACTCTCTCTCAATAGCTGATCTCTGTTTGCTGTAGGACCTGAGAAGAGATAACAGACCACAAACAACTGAGTGTCTCTCTCTCTATCTCTCTCTCACACACACATAATATGCACACATATTATGTGTCTGTCTGTGTGAAATATATAAAACTTCTACCCACTCCCATATAACTTCAATGTGCAATACAGAAAAACAGGAAATATTTGTGAAACATCAGGAGAGAATGCTTCTGGAACATGGCCATACAACCTGGAAAACTCACAGCCACCCAGGAAATATTTGCTTGAGGAATCTCAAACGCTTGCCCTTTTCTGTTATCTGGTGTATTTGTACATGCATGGGCTTGGTTGTAGGTAAGTAGGTATGTGTATTGAGCAGAGTTGCCTGGATTTTAGTAGTAGTAAATCCCACAAAAATCCCAAGTCTGCCATACAATACTGCCACTGCTCGAGGCATTTTACCTCTGTTTCAGAAAATACATTACTACTCTTACCCTTTTCCCTGCAGGGGAAGCAACTTTACTGCAATATATAATTATCAGCCAGACAATGTCTGTAACGAAAAAGCTAAAAAGCCTACTGTTCCATCTCTTTGAAGATAGAATTAGGAAACTGCAAGATTTTAAAAATAAGAATAGTTTGAGAAATTCGCAGAATTACACAATACATGAGGGAAAGGAAAGGTTCCTAAGAAGACTCAAACTAAGCAAACTTTTCCTATGAACCTAGCAGCTATTACCATTTCAACCTGAGTGGATGTGTGTAGAGAACAGCAATGGGCATGGTTGCTTAACACAGAGGTGTTGCAATCTTTCACATTAGTCACAGCCTTGCACAGTAATGACCTAACTTTGAACCCTGTGTAAATCAACCTTACTTATGATGAGAGAAATTGATGCTGGCATTTAAATACAAGCAGTCCCTGAGTTGCAAACATCCAATTTACATACAACTCCTAGATTCAAACAGCAGAGAGGCAGTGCTAGGTGGGCTTGGGAGAAGGTGCATCAGCTAGCAGGATGTGCTAGGACTTTTGCATTATTTGAAAATGTTTAAGCATTTAAATGCATAGGTAAAAATAAATAATATGTTAAGACAAACATCTATCCAAGATGAATTTAAAATAGAACTCCATGCAATTTTTAAAAGTTTTTGTTAGTACAGTATTTTTATTTTATTTATTTACAGCATTTTTACCCTGCTCTTCTCACCCCCGCAGGGGGACTCAGAGCAGCTAACAATGGCAACAATGGATGCTGCAATAATTACAATTATAAAAGCAAAATAAAATCATACAATATAATACAGTAAAACAACAAAGCTGGTGGGACCGAGAGCAGGACCTCCCCAGCAGATCTTAGACTACGAGGCGGAACGTTGAGGGAGATACGTTCGGACAAGTAAGCTGGGCCGGATTTGTATAGGGCTTTATAGACCAAGACCAGCACTTTGAATTGTGCTCGGAAATGGACCGGCAGCCAGTGGAGTTGACGTAACAGGGGGATGATATGATCCCTGTACAATGCTCCAGTGAGTTAGAGTCACTGTTAGATTTTTACTACTGTCTATATCCTCATTAGAAAGACTTAATGCCATTTCCTGTCCCTGAGACAATAGGAAGTGAGAGGAAATCTACCCCTAAGAAGGGAAATTTACTCCTGTAAGAGGTTTAATGGGGAAAGGGTATCTCTGTTGAAGCTTTATCACCAATCCTTGTTTTCATGACAACCCATCCCCCCCCCCATCCAATTGTTTTTAAATTAGTTTTAATTAAATAATTAACAACACACAGTGCAAAAAGAATACAAAATAATGAACATTTTACTAACACTTAGGCCTGAACAAGTATTGTTTCCTCTTTCATATATATAATATTTGTTTAGTAGTTGACTCAAAATTCAATTGTCACAAGGACAGAAAGTGAGGTTAAATCTTCTGAACAGGGTCAAAGGCAGCAAAGCAAACACCACAGGATTGTTAACCCTTCCCTATGAGATCCAAAGCTAAAAAATGTGCCTGCTTGGACATAGGGCTCTTCCATACAGCTGAATAGATTATTGCAACGCACTCTACGTGGGGTTGCCTTTGAAGACTGTTCGGAAACTTCAACTAGTCCAACAGGCGGCAACCAGATTGCTCACTGGAGCATCATACAGGGAGCACACCACCCCCCTGTTATGTCAACTCCACTGGAGTTATGTCAACTTCACTGCCGGTCCATTTCCAAGCACAATTCTAAGTCTTGGCCTATAAAGCCCTATATGACTCCGGCCCAGCTTACTTGTCCAAACGTATCTCCCTCTACGTTCCGCCTCGTAGTCTAAGATTCATCGGGGAGGCCCTGCTCTCAGTCTGATCAGCTTCGCAAACGCATCTGGTCGGGATGAGGGAGAGGGCGTTCTCTGTGGTGACCCCCACTTGTGGAATTCGCTTCCCAGCTAAATTAGATCAGTTTCCTCTCTCCTTTCTTTCAGAAAAAACCTGAAAACGTGATTTTGGAACCAGGCTTTTGGTTAGCAGACACAACGGCACTGTGAACATTGAATTGGACCATATGATTGTTATAATGGAAATGGATTTACAATTGTCTAATTAATGTGTGTTTTAATCTATTGTATTGTATGATTTTATCTTGCTGTTATAATATATTATTTGCGGCATTGAATTGTTGCCTGATTGTTAGCCGCTCTGAGTCCCCCTGCGGGGGTTGAGAAGAGCGGGGTAAAAATGTTGTAAGTAAATAAATATATCCCAAAATATCAAAGTGGAAAATCCCACAATATGTGCTTTGAACTGTATTATCTGAGCGCACACTGCCATATATCCCACTTCAAAGCAGAAAATGTGGAATTTTTGGCCTTGATACTCTGAGATATAGGGCTGTATGGAAGGGCCCCTAGATACAAATTCAACTTAAGAACAAACATACAGAACCTATTTTGATCATAACTGCCTGAATGACCAAAGTGCTCACACTGTACCAATTTCATCAGCATCCTGTTGCGACTATGGTAGATTCTCCAGAAATGGCAAGCCTTTGGAAAAGGAAACTGGACTTGTGGAAGTTGTGGCATATAGGACTTGGCCAGTCCACAAATGAGCAGCCAGTAGGCACCCTTGCCAACTGGCTTCCCTTCTTGGAGTTCACAACAGGCACGTCATTGCTGGTTGCTCAACAAACCTAATCTCCTGTTTAACAAGAAAGGGTAGCCCTCAGACACACCATGAAATATGACACGCCTCCCCCTTCTCTGCTCAAAATTCTGGTCTTCTCCCACAGTTTGTTACCTGATGTCCTCAAGGAGCTCCTGCTCCCTCTGTTGCTTATTCTGGAGACTGGAGAATTGTTCTGCTAAATGTACCTTCACCTCCTGGGTCAACTTAACCTGCAAAGTAAATAAGTTTGGCACTGAGTCATGGCACTGGATCTTTCTACAGTATGGCAGAAAGCCGCACTAAAGGTCCCCCAAAGAGCAGCATAAAAAAAGGAACCCACTACCACAATGGGAAGAGCATGGAGGGCCCTTCCGGACTGGCCCTACATCCCAGGATATGATCCCAGGTTTTCTGCATTAAAATGGATTATATGAGTCCTCACTGCCAGATAATCCGGGATAAACAGAAAACCCGGGATCAGATAGGGACTCGGGGCGGCTTACATGGGGCCATGCCCAGACAATATACAATTAAAAACAGAACAACAAAATATAAAAAAGCATAAATAACATCATAAACAATAAAAGCAAACATCATAAGCAACAACATAGGTACCTCTAATCTCATTTTTTGGGGGAGGGGATCAATATGCAAAATGAGTTAAAGGATAGGTTGGTCAAAATAAGCAGATAGAACGAATAGTAGAATAGGAATAGAGGAATTATAATAGGATCATTATAGCTTAGCTCAGTGGTTCTCAACCTGTGGGTCCCCAGATGTTTTGGCCTTCAACTCCCAGAAATCCTAACAGCTGATAAACTGGCTGGGATTTCTGAGAGTTGTAGGCCAAAACACCTGGGGACCCACAGGTTGAGAACTACTGACTTAGCTTAAAAATATAGTAATGAAATATAGGAACTGAGTTCAGGTCATGGTTAGGAGCCATCTATCGGGAATCGTCAATCAAAAGTGTGACAAAACAGCCACGTCTTCAGTTCTTTACGAAATGTGGATAAGGAGGATGCCGGCCTGATTTCCCTGGGGAGGGAGTTCCAGAGACAAGGGACCACCACCGAGAATGCTCTTTCCCTTGTCCCCACCAACTTTGCCTGAGACAGGGGTGGGAGCAAGAGAAGAGAACCCCCGGAACATCTTAAGGACCATGTGGGCTCGTAGGGGAGGATGCGGTCACGAAGATAGGCAAGTCCTGAACCGTTTAAGCTATACAGTAGGGCTCTGACACTGACAGGCCACAGAGAGCAGCAACCTCCCTCTTCAGGAGATTGGAAAGCTGATAGACATTGATGACATAGGCACTCATCTCAGGCATCAAGGACAGAACAGAAGATCAGGAGTTTCCTTGGTTCACACTTTGGCAGCTATGAACTCCAAAAGGGGAACTGGGATTCTTTGTCTAGCTTCTGCAAAAGGGGCTATTGGATGGATTACAAGATTATATGAGCCAAGTGTTTTGAATACATGGAATCATAGTATCTTAGTATTGGAAGCGACTGTCCAGTTCAATCCCTTGCCATGTAGGAAAAGCACAATTAAAGCACTCCCTACTGATAGCCATCCAGCCTCTGATTCAAAACCTCTCGAGAAGGTGACTCCACCAAGCTTTCAGGCAACATATTCCACTGCTAAACAGCTCTTATATCAGGATGATCTTCCTAATGTTTGGTTGAACTCTTGGCTCCATAAAGTCCTAGTCTCCAAAGGATCAGAAATCAAGCTTGCTCCCTTCCTCGATGTGACATCCTTTCAGGAATTTAAAGATGGCTATCATGTCCCCTCTCAGCTTTCTCTTCTCCTTGGAGAAAATAAATCGTGGCTCTTTCAGCTGTTCCTCATAGGGCAGTGGTTCTCAACCTGGGGTCCCCAGATGTTTTTGGCCTTCAACTCCCAGAAATCCTAACAGCTGGTAAACTGGCAGGGATTTCTGGGAGTTGTAGGCCAAAAACATCTTGGGACCCCAGGGTGAGAACCACTGTCATAGGGCATGGTTTCAAAATATTTGACCATTTTGGTTGTCCTTATCTGGATGCCCACACAACCCCCCAAAATGCTAAGAATAATTTTGAGGCTCTGGGTAGTGACAGCAAGGGAGGGTGCAGATGTTTGTCATTGCATCTCCCATCATTAGCATGGCCAAGGAATCCATGTTGCCTACTTAGAACCATAGAACGTCTCGTCAGAAGAACGGTCACCATGGCCATCTCCTAGCTGCTTTGAGACTCTTTGGAGGAGAGAAAAAGCAGAGCACAAAATAATAATACTCTATTTACTTGAATATAATGCTCGACCTTGTTTTGCTAAATGACCTCTCCAAAATTAGGGATTTGAGTAATACAGTAATCTTAGTGCTGAGCCAAAGCAAAAGAGGAAGCTGCTTCAGGAGCACCTGCAGCTCCTATTTAAGGAAGGCCATCTCTTATTTAATGGTCATGGCTCAATGCTATGCAATCATGGGATTTGTAGTTTGGTGAGGCATCAGCATTATTTGGCAGAAAAAGCTGAAGATCTTGTAAAACTACACCCGCCATGATTCCATAACATTGAACAAAGGCAGTTGAAGTGAACTCATTATTTAATAAATTTAATTTAAAAATATAAATATATTATATATTATATAAATGCACCCTAAAGTTTTCCTTTCAATCGCTGGAAGCTTTGGCGCACTAACAGTTTTGTTTCTAATGAAGGAATTTTAAGGGCCCTTCCAGACAGGCCCTCTATCCCAAGGTCTGAACCCAGGTTTTCTGTTTATCCCAGATTATCTGACAGTGCGGACTCATATAATCCAGTTTAAAGCTGAAAACCTGGGATCGGATCCTGGGATAGCAGGCTGTCAGGAAAGGCCCTCCGTGTGCAGCAACTGTAACACACCTTTTTGACCAGATTACAAAGAGTGTACTTTTTGCAGCAGCACATTATACTGGGCAGCAAATACTTCTTTGGGTTTCAGGATTTTGAAAATGGAGATGCACATTAGATTTGATGGTGGATTAAACTCAAGTAAATATGGGTAATGTTTTTTTTTTTCATGTCAGGAACGACTTGAGAAACTGCAAGTCGCTTCTGGTGTGAGAGAATTGGCTGTCTGCAAGGACGTTGCCCAGCGGATGCCCGGATGTTTTGATGTTTTATCATCCTTGTGGGAGGCTTCTCTCATGTCCCTACATGGGGAGCTGGAGCTGACAGAGGGAGCTTATCCGTGCTCTCCCTGGATTTGAACCTCAAACCTGTCGGTCTTCAGTCCTGCTGTCACAAGGGTTTAACCAACTGGTTGTGTGGTTTCTGGGCTGTATGGCTGTGTTCTAGCAGGATTTTCTCCTGATGTTTTGCCTGCATCTGTGTCTGGCATATTCAGAAGGTCCTCTGAACAGCCCAGACACAGATGCAAGCTAAACATCTGGAGAAAATGCTGCTAGAACATTCCCAGAAAGCCTGGAAACCACAAAACACCACAGCGATTCCGGATGTGAAAGCCTCGACAATACAATAACAAAAACAATCTAGTCCAGTGCTTCTAAGGGCCCTTCTAAACAGCCATATAACCCAGAATATCTAGGCAGTTAATCCAAAACATCTGCTTTGAACTGGATTATCTGAGTCCACACTGCCAGATAATCCAGTTCAATGTGGATTATATACAGCTAGGTGGAAGGGATCTTTGCTCATTATGTGTACGTGCTGGGGGGGGGGGGGCAAAATGTGACACTTGCAAAAGTTTTCTGAACAGCCTGCAGTGCTTACAGTGGATTCTGCAGACAGCTGTCATCCACAACAACAACAGCAAAAGGAAACCAGCCTGTTTAGCAAGCCTGAAATGTGTTTGGCTTATTTTCAGCCAGTGTTGGATTTGTATCCCTCTTTTACACTCATATATATATATATATATATATATATATATATATATATGTATGTATGTATGTATGTATGTATGTATGTATATATCAAACACTGGCTGAAAAGAAGTTCACAACTTATTTTATGGAACATAAAATGCTATCTTGTATATATCTATATAAATAAAAATGTAATGTTCGTTTGTGGGATTAACAGAACTCAAAAAACACTGGGCAAATTGACACCAAATTTGGACACAAGACATTTAACAACCCAATGTATGTTCTTCACTCCAAAAAAATGATTTTGTCGTTTGGGAGTTGTAGCTGCTGGGATTGATAGTTCACCTACAATCAAAGAGCATTCTGAACCCCACTGACGGAATTGAACCAAACTTGGCAAACAGTTCTCCCATGACCAACAAAATACTGGAAGGGTTTGGTGGGCAATGTCCTTTGGTTTTGGAGTTGTAGTTCACCTACATCCAGAGAGCACTGTGGACTCAAACAATGAAGGATCTGGACCAAACTCTACACAAATACTAAATATGCCCAAATGTGAACACTGGTGGAGTTTGGGGAAAATAGAATCTTCACATTTGGGAGTTATAGTTGCTGGGATTTGTACTTCACCTACAATCACAGAGCATTCTGAATCCCACCAATGATAGAATTGGGCCAAACCTCCCACACAGAACCCCCATGACCACCAGAGTGGGCCACAGCAACGTCTGGCAGGGGACGGCTAGTGTATGTATGTATGTATGTATACACACACACACACATATATACACACATGTATATATGTGTGTGCATATATATGTGTACATATAAAATGCTATGTATATATATGTGTGTGTATATATATGAGTGAGAACATATAAAATGCTATATATATATATATATATATATATATATATATATATGAATGAATCCCTCAATTTTTTATATCTATCTATCTATAAACTGAGGGATTTGGGGGGCACAACCTTGGTAAAAATAGCATTTTAAGTTCCATAAAATAACTTTTGAACTTATTTTCAGCCAGTGTTTGATTTGTATCCCTCTTTTACACTCTCTCTCTCTCTCTCTCTCTCTCTCTATATATATATATATATATATATATAATATATATATATATATCCCTCAATTTATATATATATATATATATATATACACACACATACACAGCTAAGTGTTGCTGTGGCACAGTCTGTGTATATGTGCTTTGTGTGTGTATTTGTGTATATGTGTGTTTGCGTATATACGTGTGATTTTGTGCATGTGTTGTAATGTTTTGTTTTGTTTTTGCTTTTTAAGTCTCTTCTGCTGTGTTTTCCAGTGCTTTTATAAGTGATGGTCACTCGTTGGCCTGATAGGCACATTGTGTCCAAATTTGGTGTCAATTCGTCCAGTGGTTATTGAGTTATGCTAATCCCACAAACGAACATGACATTTTTATTTATATAAGGTTTTATATATATCAAGCTTGAGGGATTTCGGGGGGTACAACCTTGGTAAAGATAGCATTTTAAGTTCCATAAAATAAGTTGTGAACTAAGAGATAGTGAGTGAGTAGGAGATTAGAGCAGGTTGAGAAAAGAGAGGAGAGAGAGAAAGATCAAGAAAGAAGGAGAGAGGCAAAAAGAGGAGAGAAAATTAAAAAATACTCTGGTTTCTCTTCAGATCGTATACATCTTTCGTCTTTTACCTTCCTATATACTTGAAGATTTCTCGGGAGGGGAAAAGGAAGACTGGAAGAAGCCCTGTCATCCAGGAACACACTTCCCAACTAAGTTTCACAGCATGCTCTGCGATGGAAGGCATGGGCTCTTGGGAGCAGCTTCGAAAGGGAGCCAAGGGGAGAAGGCAAGCAGATCTTGCTGGGGTGCCAAAGGGGGGGGGGGGGGGGAGACCTCTCTTTCTCTTTCCCTCCCCTTTGAAAGGCTGCGTCGGAAGGGACAAGAAGTCGGCAGTGCTTGGCTCCCCCATCCCGGCTCCGTTTGGGTTACCTGTCCTCCTCTCCCTTGCCGCCTGCCCACTGGCCTCAAGGGTTGGGGAAGGGACTTACTTGGCGCGGGGGCGGCTGCATCCTCCTCCTTTTCCTCTCCTCCTCCTCCTCCTCTTTTGGGGCTCTTCCTTGAGGATCGGCGCCCAGAGACTGCGAGGCCGGCCAGCCCGGAACTGCTGCCTGCCGCCCTGGCTCCTCCCTGGGGCCGCATCACTCGGCGCCGCCGCCGTGGAGGCTCCCAAGGACGCCCACCTCCCTTCCCACCTGGACGACTAGTCTCCCTCTCCACCACTTTGTGCTCCAAGGTTCCCTTCTAACTTCAGCCAGAAGCTCAAGGAGAAACATGGGAGGCGGAACGAGCTTGGCTCCCCATCTGAATGAGCCAAAGTTGGAGCAGAGTCATAGAATCATAGAATCAAAGAGTTGGAAGAGACCTCATGGGCCATCCAGTCCAACCCCCTGCCAAGAAGCAGGAATGTTGCATTCAAATCACCCTTGACAGATGGCCATCCAGCCTCTGTTTAAAAGCTTCCAAAGAAGGAGCCTCCACCACACTCCGGGGCAGAGAGTTCCACTGCTGAACGAGCTCTCACAGTCAGGAAGTTCTTCCTCGTGTTCAGATGGAATCTCCTCTCTTGTAGTTTGAAGCCATTGTTCCTAGTCTCCAAGGAAGCAGAAAACAAGCTTGCTCCCTCCTCCCTGTGGCTTCCTCTCACATATTTATACATGGCTATCATATCTCCTCTCAGCCTTCTCTTCTTCAGGCTAAACATGCCCAGCTCCTTAAGCCGCTCCTCATAGGGCTTGTTCTCCAGACCCTTGATCATTTTAGTCCCCCTCTGGACACATTCCAGCTTGTCAATATCTCTCTTCAATTGTGGTGCCCAGAATTGGACACAATATTCCAGGAGTGGTCTAACCAAAGCGAATAGAGGGGTAGCATTACTTCCCTAGATCTAGACACTATGCTCCTATTGATGCAGGCCAAAATCCCATTGGCTTTTTTTGCCACCACATGACATTGTTGGCTCATGTTTAACTTGTTGTCCACGAGGACTCCAAGATCTTTTTCATACTGCTCTCGAGCCAGGCATTGTCCCCCATTCTGTATCTTTGCATTTCATTTTTTCTGCCAAAGTGGAGTATCTTGCATTTGTCACTGTTGAACTTCATTTTGTTAGTTTTGGCCCATCTCTCTAATCTGTCAAGATCGTTTTGAATTCTGCTCCTGTCCTCTGGAGTATTGGCTTTCCCTCCCAATTTGGTGTCGTCTGCAAACTTGATGATCATGCCTTCTAGCCCTTCATCTAAGTCGTTAATAAAGATGTTGAACAGGACCAGGCCCAGGACAGAACCCTGCGGCACTCCACTTGTCACTTCTTTCCAAGATGAAGAGTCACCCAACTTGAAGCTCCCAAGGAAACCTAACCCTTCCTTACCCATTTCTAGGCTCATCTATTTCTTCTTTACCCCTTTCTAGGCTTTACCCCCTTCTTTACCCCTTTCTAGGCTCATCTATTTCTGTTTTATTGACTATTCTAAAGCCTTTGACTGTGTGGATCATAATAAATTGTGGCAAGTTCTTGATGGTATGGGGATACCAAATCACCTTGTCTCTCTCCTGAGGAATCTGTATAAGGACCAAGAAGCAACAGTAAGAACAGACCATGGAACAAGATTGGGAACTGGGAAGACACTGAGAACTGGGAAGCCCTGACCTTTGAACGCTCCAGCTGGAGGTCAGCTGTGACCAGCAGTGCTGCAGAATTTAAAGAGGCAGGAATGGAGGGCAAAAGAGAGAAACATGCCAAGAGGAAGGCGCATCAAGCCAACGCCAACCGGGACCGTCTTCCACCTGGAACCCAATGCCCTCACTGCGGAAGAAGATGCAGATCAAGAATAGGGCTCCACAGCCACCTACGGACTCACAAGAATTCTGATCCTGGAAGACTATCCTACTCGGCCAATGAGGGATCATGTAAGTAAGTAAGTAAGTAAGTAAGTAAGTCAAGATTGGAAAAGGCATACGGCAGGGTTATATACTCTCACCCAACCTATTCAACTTGTACGCAGAACACATCATGCCATGTGCAGGGCTTGAAGAATCCAAGGATGGGGTAAAATTGCTGGAAGAAACAACCTAAGATATGCAGATGATACCACTTTGATGACTGAAAGTGAGGAGGAGCTGAGGAGCCTTCTAATCAAGGTGAAAGAAGAAAGCGCAAAAGCTGGGTTGCAGTTAAACATAAAAAAACCCAAGATTATGGCAACTAGACTGATTGACAACTGGCAAATAGAGGGAGAAAATGTGGAGACCATAACAGACCTTGTATTTCTAGGTGCAAAAATTACTGCAAACACAGACAGCAGCCAGGAAATCAGAAGACATTTATTTGGGAGGAGAGCAATGACCAATCTCGATAAAATAGTGAAGAGTAGAGACATCACATTGGCAACGAAGATCCGCATAGTCAAAGCAATGGTATTCCCCATAGTCACCTACGGATGTGAGAGCTGGACCATAGGGAAGGCTGAGCGAAGGAAGAGAGATGCTTTTGAACTGTGGTGCTGGAGGAAAATTCTGAGAGTGCCTTGGACCACGAGAAGATCCAACCAGTCCATACTTCAGGAAATAAAGCCCAACTGTTCATTGGAGGTAACGATAGTAGAGGCAAAGATGAAGTACTTTGACCACATCATGAGGAGACAGGAAAGCTTAGAGAAGACAATGATGCTGTGGGAAAAAAGAAAGAAAAGGGAAGAGGGGCCGACCAAGGGCAAGATGGATGGATAGCAACTGGCTTGACCTTGAAGGAGCTGGGGGTGGCCACGGTCGACAGGGAGCTCTGGCGTGAGCTTGTTCATAAGGTCACAAAGAGTCAGAAGCGACTGAATGAATGAACAACAACAGGTTTTTCGGACTGTATGGCCATGTTCTAGATCAGTGGTTCTCAACCTGTGGGTCCCCAGGTGTTTTGGCCTACAACTCCCAGAAATCCCTGCCAGTTTCCCAGCTGTTAGGATTTCTGGGAGTTGAAGGCCAAAAACATCTGGGGACCCCAGGTTGAGAACCACTGTTCTAGATCTAGAAGCATTCTCTCCTGACGTTTCACCTGCATCTGTGGCAGACACCCTCAGAGGTTGTGAGGTTTGTTGGAAACTAGGAAAATTGGGTTTATATGTCTGTGGAAGGTCCAGGGTGGGAGAAAGAACTTTTGTCTGTTGCAGCTACTGTGAATGTTTCAATTGGCCACCTTGATTAGCATTTGATAGCCTGGCAGTTTTTTTTTGGTATTTCCATGAATATCTGAGAGACTCTCAAGCAATTCAACATAATTTGTGGTAGCCACAAAAACAAGGTTTCTGAAGTATAACAACTATTTTCCAAGCAAGTACCGCAGGGAAGAACACTTTCAAACCAGGAACAGATTTTTTTTTCAATTTTAGTTACATAGTGTACTCTAGGGGTCCTAAAACTTTTTTAACAGTGGGCCAGGTCATAATCCTTCAAACTGTTGGAGGGCCAGATAATAATTTGAAAAAATATGAATGAATTCCTATGCACACTGCACATATCTTATTTGTAGTGCAAAAACATTTTAAAAATACAATAATTAAAATGAAGAACAATTTTAACAAATATAAAATTATTAGTATTTCAATGGGAAGTGTGGGCCTGCTTTTGGCTGATGAGATAGGATTGTTGTTATTGTTGTGTACTTTCAAGTAGTTTCAGACTTTGGTTGACTCTGAGCAAGGGCCAGGTAAATGATCTTGGAAGGCTGTATCCGGCCCCCGGGCCTTAGTTTGAGGACCCCTGGTGTAGTCTGTAGGAGCAAGCCACAAAGCAGACAGTGTACGCCAGTGGTTCTCAACCTGGGGTCCCCAGACGTTTTTGGCCCACAACTCCCAGAAATCCCAGTCAGTTTACCAGCTGTTAGGATTTCTGGGAGTTGAATGCCAAAAACATCTGGGGACCCCAGGTTGAGAACCACTGGTGTACGCCTACCTCCTTCAGAGCCCAAGAAATGGGCCTCATAACTGAACTTGCAAAGGGCCTCATTTGTCCTAAATCCAGCACTATTTAGGGACCTCCTCATTGTAGATAGTTGCTGTGAAGGAACCATGGGCACACCTACACAAGAGGCTCCCAAACTTATTTGGCTAACCTACCACGTTTAGATTAGTGGTTCCCAACCCCCCCCCCCCCCCCCCCCCCCCCATAAGCCTCTTTAAAATCCTTGATACCCTCTCTCCCTTGTGACATATAATACTATGAAACAACATTTTTGTCCCTGGGATAGAAATGTAATTTCCTAATTGGCAGTGTAATAAAAAAAGTTTATTAAACTGCCACGGTAAGACAACTTTCTATATTAGATTCAGGCTGAAACTTGTCCTGTATCTATTTGCAGTGTTCATACCCTTGTTCATATACATCTTGTATTGCATGTCATCCTGCATTTAATTAGTCTTATCAGTTCATTAATCTGCTTGCAGTTGTTCACCTTTTATTGCTGAGTTAGCTGGGTCTTTGTAATAAAGTTTTGATTTGATTGATATTAAACTACAAAAACTTTCTGTGGGACATCCTGCAGCACATTTTGCTATAGATTTTCAATGAATATCTCACAGAGTCTCAACCAATTCAACGTAGTTTGAGGCAGCCACAAAAATGAAGTTTCTGGAGTATGACAACTACTTTCAAAGTAAGTATCACACTTTCAAACCAGGATTAGACATTTTTCAAATGTTGGTACATAGTGTAATCCTTATTATTGTAAAGTTGAACTCTTCACATGGAAAATGCAAGATTTCTGTACAGTAGCAACAGAAAAATAAGGAGAAAAGAATAAGGAAAAGTTCTTATGCATCCATAGTTGGCTTTGGGTCATCACGTTGCCTTCTATTTGTAAAAGCAGTAAAACCCTGTCCAGACTACATATATGCTAAGCACTGTTAAGCCAGACACCCAAGGCCATAATAAGTAAGCAAAAAGAAAAGAATTGAGTCAAATGTGTTTTAGACTGTATAGGATGTTTTATCATGCAATTTAGAAGACTCCCCTAACCCTGTGGGAGTTTGATATTAGCTGATCCAAACTTAGGGTGCATCCACATTGCAGATTTAATGCAGTTTGATACCACTTTTGTTACAGTAAGTTGCAACAGGGTCAAGTATGTGTGTGTGTTAAACAAAACCTTATGCTGTTAATTAT